TGGAGCCTCTGACTAGTGCCAACAACAAGCTGCATGCATAAAACCTGTTTAGGCTGTACGGCATGTCTTGGGGCACACACAATGGCTGTATATATGAAATGCACACGTCATAAAAACTACATTCAAAAGTTTGTTGTTTTATTAAATAATAATTTAAAGTGTCATGGTATATTCTTGTGTGTAGCAATGTCACATAGATCATTTTATTTAGTGAGACAAAGCCCTTTCATTATCAAAATAGGCCTATGATTTTCCTCAAAAGTGATTACTCTGGCAAGTATTCGAATACTAACATCCGTTTGGGTATTCAAATAACCGTGCCCATCCCTACCCATCAGCGCTTTCTTCTTCCTCCTCTCAGCATCTTCCATCCTTCATCTCTGGACTGCCAGGGCTCAGGGCTGCATTCATCCTGAATACGTCAATATGGGATCTGAGGAGCTCAAAGTGCCAGAGGACACAGACTCTGAATGAACAAAATGGTTTCTGTCCTTTCTAAAGCTGGGGTAGTTTCAGTACTGTCTTTCTAAAGCTGAGACTATTGCTAATGCTAGCTGCTGTGTGTTGTCACCTGTCTGAGAGGGGAGGTAGCTCTATTTACATTTACATTTTTACATTTTAGTCATTTAGCAGACGCTCTTATCCAGAGCGACTTACAGTTAGCACATACATTATTTTATCGAACCCACAACCCTGGCGTTGCAAACGCCATGCTCTACCAACTGAGCTACATCCCCTGCCGGCCATTCCCTCCCCTATCCTGGACGACGCTGGGCCAATTGTGCGCCGCCCCATGGGTCTCCCGGTCGCGGCCGGCTACAACAGAGTCTGGATTCGAACCAGGATCTCTAGTGGCACAGCTAGCACTGCGATGCAGTGCCTTAGACCACTGCGCCACTCGGGAGGTATTCAGGGGTCTCGTATCCCAGTAAATGTTTTACTAGAACAGAGGAGACGGCTGCCTGTGTTTTCAGCCATCCAGACACAACACACTGGAGGGAAGATAAACAATTAACTCTGTGATGAGTTTCTCCCTACGTCTATCAGCCTGGGGAATATGGCCCCACAGAAAGAGTCAATGCTATCAACTCTGAGTGAACGCTGTCCCTGCAGTGTTGTTGTAGGGGAGACATATTATTTTTGATTTGATTAAAAACGTATTCAGTGTATACATTCTGCACCACTTAAGATTTTGGTATGGAATAATTCGTAAGTGAAGCTGTTTTATTATTTAATACCTCTCTGTGTAGAGGACCATATCTGTCACAGGTTAAAAGCCATCATGTTTTACTTGAGTCAGCTCATGCTTATAGCTTTAAGAAAAAAGTAAAATGGGTTGTACTTTATAATTGCAAGCTAAATTATTGAGCCATTAAAGGAGTCTGTTGGAAGGCAATTTGAAGAAAATCTCATTTGAGGCATTACAATGATTGATTGATCATTTCAAACATTCCATACCTAGCTGGGGGCAAGCCTGCAGCCCGCTCCAATGCATTACAGCGCAAAACAGTGCTGGAGTGCACCTCTATCTCTCAATATCGGCCACCATTAAATTTGATATTTGAATGATATACAGTGCCTTCAGAAAGTATTCATACCACTTTTGTTCTGTTACAGCCTGAATTCCAAATTGATTAAAATGTGTTTTTCTCACCCATGTACACACAATACCCCATAATGACAGTGAAAACATGTTTTTAGAAATGTTTGCAAATGTATTGAAAATGAAATACAGAAATATCTAATTCACATACGTATTCACACCGTTGAGTCAATACTTTGTAGAAGGACCTTTTGGCAGCGGTTACAGCTGTGAGTCTTTCTGGGTAGTCTTTCTGGGTAAAAAACGTTCCACACCTGGATTGTGCAACATTTGCCCATTATTCTATTCAAAATTCTTCAAGCTCTGTTAAATTGGTTGTTGATCATTGCTTGACAACCATTTTCAGGTCTTGACTGACTCTCACTCTGCTTGGCTCTAGTCTACAGTACCAAGAGGCTTGTGGGAGGATCTGAATCCCCACTTGGGACATTTGTACTGTACATTATGTTCCATTCAACATTAAACACACACTCCCAGTCCCAGTTTACTAGCAGATACACTGGTATCAATTAGACCAGTCAAGCCCAGCTGTTTTTGGTTTAAAAAGAGTAAAGAAATGGAGAGAAAGTGAGAAGTCCGCTTGAAACTCTATAGCAGAGTGTAAGGAAAGGTTTAGAATGTTTAACCACATCCTTCTGTGAGTGGGCTTTCATCTTAACATAATATCCCATTCCAGACCCCTCGACTCTGGTACTAATTGGAATCTGCCACTTCCTTCTAGCCAGGGGCTATTACTGTTACCCAGAAGGCAGTCTGAGATTTAAGGGATCACAAAGTTCAATTTACAATCCAAATGTTGTGAATGTGTTTTATCCCAATGCTCTTCATTAAGAGAGCGGCACACTGTATGATTTACACCTCTGTCTGAGATGGCATCCAAACATCAGAGGAATAACAGTCTCTCTGATAGACCAGCTGGGAATAACACTCTTTCTGATAGGCCTCCCGGCTGACCTGTTGAATTATGCATCTCACATCTCTACCTTTGTGCCTAAGTGGACCAAACTGTGGCTTCAGTCTCAGTACAACAGGAAGACCCCGGGCTCTGTGTCCTCGTTTGAATCAAAGCCCAGAGCTTTCTGAGGGCCAGCGCTGGCCCCATTGTCACCTCCACTATGATATCAGCTCTAATTGGAGATGACATTTGGAGGCCTCACACTGGTACAGGAGGACGACGAGGAGCTATGTTGAATTCTAGTCGGTCTGTTTCTCCCCTGACCTGAGAGGCAGACAGAAGAGGATGTGCTGTCTCAGTATTAGCTCTTTTTGAAGTCCCTAAATTAGATTTTCAAAGTTGAAACAGTGTAAAGTACCACTAGAATTCCCTGTCTTATGCATCTCAGCCAGGGGAGATATGGTCTATAGGTTTGCGGATGAAGACGTGTGTGTGTGTGTGTAAGACCTTACTCAGCTCTTAGTCTCATTCAACATATGTCTCTTTCTGCCCTCCTATCTCTCCCTCCACATCTGTCATCATCTCAGTGAGAGGTGATGCAGAAATCCCCCTTTTTAACTCGGCACCATGCTCACAGCAGCACACACATCAAAAAATACTCTTCCTGTGGTTCTCCCTCCTCTCTCTCTCAATGAAACTCAAAGGGCTTTATTGGCATGGGATATATATGTTTACATTGCCAAAGCAAGTGTGTATCTCTCTTGCGCTCACTCTCTCTCGCACTCTCTCTCAATTCAATTCAAAGGCGCTTTATTTGAATGATAAACATATGTTTACATTACCAAAGTAAGTGAAATAAACAAAACTGAGAAGAAACCAATTTAACAACAACAAAAAATTATTAGAAATTACTGGAAACATTGCAAGGTTTCAAAAATATAAAGATTTTTCAAGTGTTATATTATCAGCTATGTACAGTGTTTTAGCAATGTGCAAATAGTTGTAGTACGAATTGTGGGGGAAGATAAATAAACATAAGTATTGGTGGTATTTACAATGTTGTTTGTACTCTGCTGGTTGCCCTTTTCTAATGGCAATGAGCCACAAATCTTGCTGCTGTTATTGCACATTATGGTATTTCGCCTAACAGATATGGGAGTTTATCAATGTTGGTAAAACCTGTCTTCTTTTGAGAGCCAGGTCTTCCATAGTAAAGGATTTTCTTAATTTTGGGTCAGTCACAGTGGTCAGGTATTCTGTCACTGTGTACTCTCTGTTTAGGGCCAAATAGCATTCCAGTTTGCTCTGTTTTTTTGGTTGATTCTTTCCAATGTGTCATAATAATTTTTTTGCTTTCTCATCATTTGTTTGGGTCTAATTGTGTTGCTGTCCTGTGGCTTTGTGGGATCTGTTTGTGTTGGTGAACAGAGCCCCAGGACCAGCTGGCTGAGGGGATTCTTGTCTAGGTTTATCTCTCTATAGGTGAGGGCTTTGTGGGGGAATGAGTGGGCATCACTTCCTTTTAGGTGGTTGTAGAATTTAACAGCTCTTTTCTGGATTTTGATAACTAGCGTGTATAGTCTTCATTCTGCTCTGCATGCATTGTTTGGGGTTTCGCGTTGAACACAAAGTATATTTTTGCAGAATTCTGCAAACAGTCTCTTAATTGGGTGTTTGTCCCATTTTGTGAATTCTTGGTTGGTGAATTTAAATATTTTTAGCCAGATCCTAATTGGGATGTTGAGTTTTATGTTCCTTTTGATGGCATAGAAGGCCCTTCTAGCCTTGTCTCTTAGATCGTTCACAGCCGTGTCGAAGTTACCTGTGGTGTTGAAGTTTAGGCCGAGGTAGGTATAATTCTTTGTGTGCTCTAGGGCAACAGTGTCTAGATAGAATTTGTATTTATTGTCCTGGCAACTGGACCTTTTTTGAAACACCATTATTTTTGTCTTACTGAGATTTACTGTCAGGGCCCATGTCAATTCATTGATATAAATGTTGAAGAGGGTGGGGCTCAAGCGGCATCCCTGTCTCAGCCCACAGCCCTAAGGAATTAAATCTGTGTTTATTGCCAATTATCTAACACTTGTTGTTTGTGTACATTGATGTTTTATGTCATGTTTTTCCTCCAAAACTGATTACCATCCATTTGTATAGCAGACCCTCGTGCCAAATTGAGTCTAAATCTTTTTTGAAATCAACAAAGCATGAAAAGACTTTGCTTTTATTTGGTTTATTTGTTTGTCAATAAGGGTGTGCAGGGTGTATACGTGGTCTGTCGTAAGGTGTCTCCCTCTCTTTGTCACTCTCTCTGCCTCTCTCTCTCTGCCTCTCTCTCATTCTCCACCTCCAGTCGTTTCCACTGACCCACAGCAGCTGCCTCTCTGTGGCTGTCACAGCGGGGCTTTTAATGAGCTGCTGCACTCCTCCACCCCCTCCTCATCACCATCCTGCCATCTCTCTTTTCTTCCCCTCTTTCTACCCTTCCTCCTCTCTTTCTAGAGGAACTCATTCCCTTACTCACTTACCTTGGTGAAGTGTGAGAGTAGTGTGCCCCCCACTGGATTGGGTGGGGCTCATGAATGGAAGGAGGGAGAGATGGTGGGCTGCTGGTTTTATGATTCAGTTACTTGCTTATTCATTATGGAAAAGGAATAAAAGCCAACTAAGTCAGCTGAGGCTCCCAGCAGTTTCATTAAACTCAGTATAAAGGAGTTATTGATCCGCTGTGGTGAGAGAAGGACAGCGAGAGAGCAGCAGAGAATTGTGTTTTATAATTGATTTCAGAGGGAGGCAAAAAGCCTTTGAAGTTTTACAGATGAGAAAAAGGTGATTGGGTTGGCTGGAGTGTGTATGTGTGTACGTGACATTGTGCAGCAATTTCTACTACTTTCTCTTACTCCTAAGTTAACTTCAGTATATAACACATTTTTCTAAGGTTTCCCATAGACCCCTATAGGGGAGCAGGGTTCTGCTCAGATTCCTGCTCACAAAGATAAATGTGTGAAAGCCACAGTTCACACCTTTCCCAGAGCAACTCTCTTCCTTCTCTCTCGCGCTTCGCCCTCTCTCTGCTGAAGCCCTCTCTCTGCTGAAGCCCTCTACTGCAGCTGATGGTCAGATCAGAGGATCTCTGTCCATGTTCCTTGGCTGTAACATCCTCCTCTATCCTCCATCGATCTGACACAATACAAACCTTTTATAAGGGTTGTCTGGTAATCCAGTCTGATTCCATGTTCACTCTCTCCTTCTCTCTTTCTGTATTTCTGCTGCTGCTGTCAGCCCCACTTGGTCATAATCTCTTAAGACAATCCTCCATCCTGTTGTTCATTGATTGCCAGTTATTAGGACATTTTGTCTCACTTGTCATTAAGTTGCACTGTATGACAGATGATATCTAGATCACTGTTAATTTCTGTTGGTCCTACTATATCAACAACATCCAACAAATGTCTAGTTTGAGGATGAATCTTTACATGTGAGGTCATTGTGCACCTCTGTTGGTATTGTAGAGCACGGAGCTTGCAACACCAGGATTGTGGGTTGAATTCCCATTGGGCTATCCATAAGAAAATCTACATGTGCATGACTGGAAGTCACTTTGGATAAAGGCGTCTGCCAAATGGCATATATTATCATATATTGACATGTCATTGAGATTTTATGGATTAAATGCAGGGATCCCTCTCTCCCTCGGCTCTTTCATCTCTCTCTACATATCTCCTTGACACATAAGGACAGACATCCATCTCACTGGGAAAATGTAATAATTTGCTTGGCAATGTCCTTTTGATTTTTCTCTGTCTTTCTTTCCCTCCCTTCTCTCCCAATATAGTACATCATTCCCTTGTGTGGGTGGAGGAGCAGGACCTGGCAATGCTTCATATTTCATAAGAGCTCCTGCACCTAGTTGCTACAACACTGTCGTGCACTAGTGGCTTCTTGGACTGTTTTCAGGGGTTTAGAGCTGGGAAGGAACAGCCACTTGTTTGTCACAGATTACAATTGTCTTGTATTGCACAGATTGTTGTGCATCTTGCTGCATTGAACAGACTGATTTCTAACAGCTCTGTAGTGAGAACAAGCTTTCTTCCTTTGATGTGTCAGTTCATATATATCTGAAGGCCTCAGCATATTCTATCATGGTGATGTTTGTATTAACGCAACATTGGTGTTGTTAACAGCCTTTTAACATGCTCCCGTTCTGCACTTGGGGAAAGAGGTTTTCAATCAGAAAACGACTGTTCAGTTAATCAAGTTATCGTACTAAATAATTAGCCTGCTGTTATCTGATTGACCAGATCTTTCAGTTTGCCCCTAATCACTGATCCAAAGTCAGATGTTTTTACCTCCTAATGGTTCAGGTTGGATAGATGTCGTTAGGGGGAACTTGGAGTGAGCAGAGCAGTGTTTGGGTCCTCTGTCAAGGCAGCGTTTTGTAGCTCCACTCTGCACTATAGAATGTTCTCCTCTACTCAGTGTCTGTCTCTCAGCTCACAGAGCCAGAGAAGAGGAGCTGTCATCCTCAGGGAGGTATGGAGACTTACACAGACATGTGTCAGTCATCAGTCTGATAAAGTCCCATCAACTGAGCCTCATCTCCTCTCTGTCATCACAACAACACCTGCCTGTCCTCCCCACTGGCACTGCAGCTCTCCATCAGAGGACAAGTCAACCATTGGAAAGTCTAAACTTTAGGAAATGTTAATGGTCCCTATTCTGAGTTAGATGGCATGACAATCTACCACATGGTCCATGTTGATTGGCAGTAGAGGAGGATCTGGTCTGGTTGACTGCTAGTAGAGTGTCTGTAGTACAAGTCTAGGTCTATATAGTCTGTGTAGTGTAGAAGTGTAGGTCTATATAGTCTGTGTAGTGTAGAAGTGTAGGTCTATATAGTCTAGGTCTATATAGTCTGTGTAGTGTAGAAGTGTAGGTCTATATAGTCTAGGGCTATATAGTCTGTGTAGTGTAGAAGTGTAGGTCTATATAGTCTAGGTCTATATAGTCTGTGTAGTGTAGAAGTGTAGGTCTATATAGTCTAGGTCTATATAGTCTGTGTAGTGTAGAAGTGTAGGTCTATATAGTCTAGGTCTATATAGTTTGTGTAGTGTAGAAGTGTAGGTCTATATAGTTTGTGTAGTGTAGAAGTGTAGGTCTATATAGTCTAGGTCTATATAGTTGTGTAGTGTAGAAGTGTAGGTCTATATAGTTTGTGTAGTGTAGAAGTGTAGGTCTATATAGTGTCTGTAGTTCAAGTGTAGGTCTATATAGTTTGTGTAGTGTAGAAGTGTAGGTCTATATAGTTTGTGTAGTGTAGAAGTGTAGGTCTTATAGTTTGTGTAGTGTAGAAGTGTAGGTCTATATAGTGTCTGTAGTTCAAGTGTAGGTCTATATAGTTTGTGTAGTGTAGAAGTGTAGGTCTATATAGTCTGTGTAGTGTAGAAGTGTAGGTCTATATAGTCTAGTCTATATAGTTTGTGTAGTGTAGAAGTGTAGGTCTATATAGTTTGTGTAGTGTAGAAGTGTAGGTCATATAGTGTCTGTAGTTCAAGTGTAGGTCTATATCGTTTGTGTAGTGTAGAAGTGTAGGTCTATAGGATCTCCTTGTTGACTGACAGTAAAATATTGTATGGAGGTTGACCTGTCTGTGTTGACTGACAGTTGAGTATTGGTCAATATGTCCTTGTTGACCGGCAGTAGAGGACTCTTTCTGTGGAAGTGTCCTAAATGTCCTAGACGTCCGGCCAGTCTGTCTAGTTTCTATGTTAGGTCTGGAGATGTGATGTGGCAGTGACACTCCTGAGCACGTCTCCCCCGACAGCCACTTGAGAGTCAGCCATGATGTCACATGGCCATGTCACACAGCCATCACAGGCAGTCACATGCTCAGTGTCAAAGAGAGCAGGCTGTCACTCACTCTGAACGGACAACCTTGGCCGTCTATTCGGTCAACAGAAAAGGACCCTCATTAATTGATTTTACACAGACCTTTGTGCTTGTGAATGTTGCCTTTGCAATAACTGTCTCTCTATTTGAAGTATTGGTAGCTTTATTGATGACACCAAGGTGACACCACCAAGCTGGACCAATGAAACCATTAAAATAGGTAGTTGACCTCCAAGTGTTATCTGTTGTCATGGGAAACAGCCTATCAGAGTTGCCCTGGCATTGACACCTGCATGGAGATTGATGGACAGATAGAGGAGCGGTCGGGAGCAGAATCCGTTCTTCATGGCATCCTTGTCAAGGAGAATAAGCCAAACAAAGTAATCTCTATCTCCTCTCCTGTAATCAATCTGCAAAGCCTGCGTTATCAAGAGGTACACGTGTGGAGCGTTCCAGGCTTGTCTGCTCCTTCCTCTGGTCATGTAGCTCTAAATGCTGTGGGTAATAGCTGTTAGCTGGGAGGGTCAAACACACACACCATCAGAGCAGCTGCAGCCTTTTCTTCAACTGGAGATAGACCCAATGAATAAAATGTCGCTGGAGTCTAGTTATCAAGAGGGTGTTGACATTGTTGGGGGATTCTTTAGACACGGTCTGGGATTGTTTTATTTTTTTAGCTGGCCTGTACCTGTTTCCCTTGTAAAAGTTATCCATCACCAGCAGTTACCATGACAATAGAGCTGGAGCTGTCTGGAGGGAGAGGCGGTTCCAGATAAGAGAGGCGTGAGGTCACTGAGTTGTTGACATTTCCTCACAGCAGCTCCCTCGGTTGTAATTGGCTGCTGGTGATAAGATCCCTTTGTTCTAATTGGCTGGTGATAAGAGCCTGGCAGCAGCAGCATCAGCAGGTCAGATACTGATAATGGGAGCTCCGGGACACCAGTGGAGGAAGGAAGAGATTAAAGCCCCTCAGAGCTGGACTCTACGGTCTGTCTACTGGACTGTACAGTGTACTGGCTGCTCTGCTTCCTACAGTCACTGGACCACTCTGACACAGGACATTGTGATATTGACTGGCTTTCATCAGGCTGCCCACTCAAGAGAAAGCTTCAATCTGTAACCAGTGCCTGCAATCTGGTTCAGGTTATCAGTCAACCTACCAGGGTAGTTGCAAACAGTACATGAATTGAATCATCAACATGTTTTGATCATATCTTTACTAATGCTGCAGAGATTTGGTTGTAAGCAGTATCCAAATCCATTGGATGTAGTGATCACAATATAGTAGCCATATCTAGGAAAACCAAAGTTCCAAAGGCTGGGCCTAATATTGTGTATAAGAGGTCATACAATATGTTTTGTAATGATTCCTGTGTTGTTGATGTAAAGAATATATGTTGGTCTGTGGTGTGTAATGAGGAGCAAACAGACACTGCACTTGACACATTTATAACATTGCTTATTCCAGTTCCTAATAAGCATGCACCCATTAAGAAAATGACTGTAAAAATGGTTAAATCCCTGTGGATTGATGAGGAATTGAACAATTGTATGGTTGAGAGGAATGAGGCAAAAGGAATGGGAAATAAGTCTGGCTGCACAACTGATTGGCAAACGCATTGCAAATTAAGAAATCATGTGACTAAACCTGAATAAAAAGAAGAAAAAACTACACTACGAAACAAAGATGAAATGACATAAAGAATGATAGTAAAAAGCTTTGGAGCACCTTAAATGACATTTTGGGAAAAAAGGCAAACTCAGCTTCATAATTTCTTAAATTTTTTTTTATTTAACCAGGTAAGCCAGTTGAGAACAAGTTCTCATTTACAACTGCGACCTGGCCAAGATAAAGCAAAGCAGTGCAATAAAAACAACAACACAGAGTTACATATGGGGTAAACAAAACATAAAGTCAAAAATACAAACAGAAAATATATATACAGTGTGTGTGAATGTAGTAAGTTATGGAGGTAAGGCAATAAATAGGCCATAGTGCAAAATAGTTACAATTTTGTATTAACACTGGAATGATAGATGTGCAAATAGAGATAGTGGGGTTCAAATTAGCAAAATAAATAACAATATGGGGATGAGGTAGTTGGGTGGGCTAATTTCAGAATGGCTGTGTACAGGTGCAGTGATCGGTAAACTGCTCTGACAACTGACGCTTAAATTTAGTGAGGGAGATAAGTCTCCAGCTTCAGAGATTTTTGCAGTTCGTTCCAATCATTGGCAGCAGAGAACTGGAAGGAATGGCAGCCAAAGGAGGTGTTGGCTTTGGGGATGACCAGTGAGATATACCTGCTGGAGCGCAGACTACGGGTGGGTGTTGCTATGGTGACCAGTGAGCTAAGGTAAGACGGGGATTTGCCTAGCAGTGATTTATAGATGACCTGGAGCCAGTGGGTTTGGCGACGAATATGTAGTGAGGGCCAGCCAACAATAGCGTATAGGTCACAATGGTGGGTAGTATATGGGGCTTTGGAGACAAAACGGATGGCACTGTGATAGACTACATCCAATTTGCTGAGTAGAGTGTTGGAGGCTATTTTGTAAATGACATCGCCGAAGTCGAGGATCGGTAGGATAGTCAGTTTTACGAGGGCATGTTTGGCAGCATGAGTGAAGGAGGCTTTGTTGCGAAATAGGAAGCCGATTCTAGATTTAACTTTGGATTGGAGATTCTTAATGTGAGTCTGGAAGGAGAGTTTACAGTCTAACCAGACACCTAGGTATTTGTAGTTGTCCACATACTCTAGGTCAGACCCGCCGAGAGTAGTGATTCTAGTCGGGTGGGCGTGTGCAAGCAGCGTTCGGTTGAAGAGCATGCATTTAGTTTTACTAGTGTTTAAGAGCAGTTGGAGGCTACTGAAGGAGTGTTGTATGGCGTTGAAGCTCATTTGGAGGTTTGTTAACACAGTGTCCAATTAAGGGCCAGATGTATACAAAATGGTGTCGTCCGCATAGAGGTGATCCGAGCTTCACCAGCAGCAAGAGCAACATCATTGATATACACAGAGAACAGAGTCGGCCCAATAATTGAACCCTGTGGCACCCCCACAGAGACGGCCAGAGGTCCAGACAACAGGCCCTCCGATTTGACACATTGAACTCTGAGAAGTAGTTGGTGAACCAGGCAAGGCAGTCATTAACCAAGGCTATTTAGTTTGCCGATAAGAATGCGGTGGTTGACTGAGTCGAAAGCCTTGGCCAGGTCGATGAAGACTGCTGCACAGTACTGTCTTTTATCGATCACGGTTATAATATCGTTTAGGACCTTTAGCGTGGCTGAGGTACACCCATGACCAGCTCGGAAACCGGATTGCATAGCGGAGAAGGTACGGTGGGATTCGAAATGGTCGGTGATCTGTTTGTTAACTTGGCTTTCAAATACTTTCGAAAGGCAGGGCAGGATGGATATAGGTCTGTAACAGTTTGGATCTAGAGTGTCAACCCCTTTGAAGAGGGGGATGACCGCGGTAATGTCCTAAGTATTTCTAAAACTAAAAGCATTGTATTTGGGAAAAATCATTCACTAAATCCTAAACCTCATCTAAATCTTGTAATAAATAATCTGGAAATTGAGCAAGTTGAGGAGACTAAACTACTGGGAGTAACCCTGGATTGTAAACTGTCATGGTCAAAACATATTGATACAACAGTAGCTAAGATGGGGAGAAGTCTGTCCATAATAAAGCGCTGCTCTACCTTCTTAACAGCACTATCAACAAGGCAGGTCCTACAGTCCCTATTTTTGTCACACCTGGACTACTGTTCTGTCGTGTGGTCAGGTGCCACAAAAAAGGACTTAGGAAAAGTGCAATTGGCTCAGAATAGGGCAGCACGCCTGGCCCTTGGATGTACACAGAGAGCTAATATTAATAATATGCATGTCAATATCTCCTGGCTCAAAGTGGAGGAGAGATTGACTTCATCACTACTTGTATTTATGAGAGGTATTGACATGTTGAATGCACCGAGCTGTCTGTTTGAAATACTAGCGCACTGCTCGGACACCCATGCATATCCCACAAGACATGCCACCAGAGGTCTCTTCACAGTCCCAAAGTCCAGAACAGACTATGGGAGGCGCACAGTACTACATAGAGCCATGACTACATGGATCTCTATTCCACATCGAGTAACTGATACAAGTAGTAAAGTTAGATTTAAAAAACAGATATAAAAAAAAACTTATGGAACAGCGGGGACTGTGAAGCAACACAAACATAGGCACAGACACATGCATACACACACGATAACATACGCACTATACACATAATAGGGATCCATAATAAATACAAATACTGGGATATTGTACTGGGTGACTTGACCACTATGACACTGGGAGGGTGCTGTAGGAGTTTCTTACTGGCATCATGTGTTCTCAGTTATCACTCTAGCTAGCTTTAGAGAGCATCAGCTCAGCAGACTGTGGTAAAACCAGAGGACATTGTTCAAGGCTGACTACACAGCAGCAGAAACGTACTGTATTGTGCTGGTTAGGCCCCCTTTAGCCACGCTCATCAGATTTGATTAATGTCTGAACAAAGGTTTTTCTGCTTTTGATATTGAATCTGATACTGCAGGACATTTTCTCCCTCTCTACTCTAACTGCAGCTTCTCCCAGTGTGTTATTATGCTCTGAAGAGACTCCTCTAGAGTGAAATCAGTGTGCATGTCCAAGCATGAGGTGACTGGGTAATGTGTTAATCTGTCTCCAGCTAGCACTGTGGCCTGCTGTTATTGGCTAATGGTGCATTGAACCCCCACTAGCTATGAGACCATATGCAGTGCACTTTCATTGCAGCTACTTTCCATACAGCCCATCTAATAGATGTTTATGGTATCTTGTAAAGTAGTCTGAGTGTGATACGGGTAATTAAGCCATGACCACCCACTGTGTTTACCACCCAGGAGACACAGTGGCCTCTAATGGAGCATATCTACACACACTTAGAGATGCTTCATACATCTGCAATGGGTCTCAGCTGGACCATAGTGTTACGGTGAATCAATATGTTGGGCAGGATCACATTTCTCGTGCCTGTTTTTCAGTATGTATTTCCCATCCCAACTTGCAGGGGGCCATACTTGTGAACTTTTGCTTAGACCATGGTTTAAACCATTGGTCAAAAATGGCTAAATGCTAGCTTTTCTCATAGGCTAACCTGGCCAAATTAGACATGATGCTGTGGATGGCCAGCTGAGCAGATAATTATATCCTGTAACAAGATAATGAATCAACCTATCTGAGACCTTACTAACCCCCTAGAGTGTTTTGACACACCGCTGCGTCAATCTAAGTAACATAATAAAAAATCCCCATCAAAATCTGTAAATTTAAGCTAGAGATACACTACATGATCAATAGTATGTGGACACCTGCTCGTCGAACATCTCATTCCAAAATCATGGGCATTCATATGGAGTTGGTCCCCCCTTTGCTGCTATAACAGCCTCCACTCTTCTGGGAAGGCTTTCCACTAGATGTTGGAGCATTGCTGCAAGGACTTGCTTCCATTCAGCCACAAGCGCATTAGTGAGGTCTGGCACTGATATTGGGCGATTAGACCTGGCTCGCAGTCGGCGTTCCAATTCATCCCAAAGCTGTTCGATGGGGTTGAGGTCAGGGCTCTGTACAGGCCAGTCAAGTTCTTCCACACCGATCTTGACAAACTATTTCTGTATGGACCTTGCTTTGTGCACGGGGGCATTGCCATGCTGAAACAGGTAAGGGCCTTCCTGAAACTGTTGCCACAAAGTTGGAAGCACAGAAATGTCTGGAATGTCATTGTATGCTCTAGCGTTAAGATTTTCCTTCACTGGAACTAAAGGGGGGGGGGGGCGGCGCATGTGTGTGTGGAGTAAAGGTGGTCTAGAGTTTTTCCTCTGGTTGCACATTTAACATGCTGGTAGAAATTAGGTAAAACAGATTTAAGTTTCCCTGCATTAAAGTCCCTGGCCACTAGTAGCGCCGCCTCTGGATGAGCGTTTTGCTGTTTGCTTGTGGCCTTATACAGCTCATTGAGTGCGGTCTTAGTGCGAGCATCGGTTTGTGGTGGTAAATAGACAGCTACGAAAAATATAGATAAACTCTCTTGTTAAATAGTGTTGTCTACAGCTTATGAGATACTCTACCTCAGTCGAGCAAAACCACAAGACTAGATTTTGTGCACAAGCTGTTGTTTACAAATATACACAGACCGCCACCCCTCGTCTTACCGGAGGTGGCTGTTCTATCTTGTTGATCCCGCCAGCTGTATGTTATCCATGTCGTCGTTCAGCCACGACTAGGTGAAACTTACGATATTACAGTTTTTAATGTCCCGTTGGTAGGATATTCGTGATCGTAGCTCGTCTATTTTGTTATCCAATGATTGTACGTTGGATAATAGGACTGATGGTAGAGGCAGATTTCCCACTTGCCGTCGGATCCTTACAAGGCACCCCGTCCTACGTCCCCGTAATCTCTGTCTCTTTTTCCTGTGAATGATGGGGATTTGGGCCTTGTCGGGTGTCTGAAGTAAATCCTTTGCGTCCGACTCGTTAAAGAAAACATATTTGTAGAGGTGAGTAATCACTGTCCTGATATCCAGAAGCTCTTTTTGGTCATAAGAGATGGTGGCAGAAACATTATGTACAAAATAATTACAAATAATGCTAAAAAACACACACAATAGCACAATTGGGTAGGAGCCCGTAAAACGGCAGCCATCTCCTCCGGCGCCATGTGCCTGCTTAGAACTTTTGGCTGAAAAAAGTAGGATTATAAAATATAATATGTAACCGTATCCAGACATTGTAAAAGTCAAAGGCGATGACTCTCATATTGTTGTCAAATAGCAGTAAACTAACCAGTACTGCTAGCCCTGAGTGGTGGCGTGATCCACTAAAGGGATCTACTCCACGTCGTCGGCATATTGTGGCTGTGAGGTCGAATCCCATTCGGGGCAAGATTTATTTTTAAGGCGGTGGCAGTCAGTTGAAAAACATTCTAATAGTATTTCTGACTGTCTTCCCAACTCACCATCACATACTTTTAATGTGGGGCTATGATAGTCAATTGCAAATTAGTCTGACATAACATCTCTTATCTCACCACCACTAATGAGATGGGTGTGGCTTGATGCATGTCGCATCAGAGCTTCTCAAAGTCAGGGGTTGTGGGCAGCAGTGCGCACCTCTTCTCTACTGTCACATCCATCCTGGATCGATATTTGGTTTTAATGCAGATGAGAGCTGGCGAATGGTACCATGAGCTTTAACGCTCTGAAGGACGCTGCAGGGTATTCCCTCTGAGTCAGGAACCAAAACTCCTCCGTAATGACCCGTGAATACTTTGTCTGCAGCATTCGGTCACATGACTGCTAAAAAGGCTGCACTTACATTCATTGTCGTAGTGTGTTGCGAAGGAAAGTCAAAATATCAAAGGAAAAATTATGACCCCCTCGGCGGATTCAGACTTACGTCGTGGTGAAAAGTGTCAAGAACTAAGCGTCTAACACTGTAAGGTCATTATTAATTCGAGTATCAGAGAACGTACCTGGTAAGGATGCTTTAGTGAAAAAGTGTTTGATCACGTCTAACTACGTGGACGATTTTAATTGGCTGAGACAGAATTTGTTACCAAATATAATTATCTGCTCTGCTGGCCGTCCTCAGCATTATGGTTAATTTGGCCAGGTTGGCCTATGAGAAAAGGTAGCAGCTAGCCATTCTAAACCGATGGTTTAAACCATGGTCTAAGCAAACGTTTACAAGTATGGCCCCCAGGGGACTGGAGGAGAGCCGAGAAACAGACCCTCGATATGCGGTGAATGTATCAGATAGATAGAAACTCAATCTATACTGTAGCAGGCTAGCAGCCATGTCACCATGGAGGTAGAAAGGGTGACCGACAAGGACAGTGGAAGGGCTTTAGGACTAAACACAAGTTAACTTTATTCACATTCACCATGTACATGCAGCTTACCTCTAACCCTTTAGCAAGAGATGTTGTAAACAACTGTCTAGCAACCTATTTTTACCACTGCATCTGAATTGCTGGAGGCTAGCTTACATTTATTTTTTTTACAACAAGTTGCCATCTTTGATCATTTAATTAGATCAAACTGTGTCAATCTGTTAGTGAAATATAAATGGATTCATTTTTTTACCCTCTATGAACCAATTCGGTGACAATAAATGACATGTCATAGCCATTTTTAGACAGGCATGTCAATTGTACAGCCAGCTCACTGAATAACAGAGCATCTTAGTTCATCAACTGCATACTTCATGAGTTACAGATTTATAATGGCTTTCCTTTTGCTGTAGTCTGTAATCATCTGAGGTTATTTACATGGCTTTTAAAAGTGCCATCCCCTTTTTCCTAGGTATATTTGTGTTGTTACGCTCTTATTAAGTCACTGCTATTGAATTAACAGCCACCATCAAAGGCAATGTTCTACTGCAAGGCTTACCATGAGATAACAAGTAATTAGGAGCTTCAGACACTCATCCTGTCATTCCCTTTAATAAGAACAAAGCATCAGAGAGCATCAGCCTTCTCTTCAGTACTGGTCTGTTGTTCTGACAGGCACCACTTCAAAAGAAAAGGAAAACAGATTAAAGAAACTCTTGTGCTTGTTTTTCGAGAGGGGTGTCAAGTTCTCCTTTAGGCGTCAATCATAGTCATTTTCTGTGTTCCCCTTTTACTAAACAATAGTTTGCCTGTATAGTGAATGTGTGTGTTGAGCAGCAGAGGTGCTGGTACTGAGCTGGACACTGACTGGTCCGTCTAGGTGAGTAGTTTGACTGAGTTCTTAGAGTTCTGTTTGAAATGAGAAAGAGGGGTGTTCCACTTTCCCTCCTAGAACAAGAATAAGAAGTACAGGGACAAATGTAAAGATTCTCACCCTGAAGTGTACAGGGAGCCATGGTGAATAAGGCTGAATGGAACTAAACACCAAATACTGTAGAATCATATTTATCCTAGCAAGAGCCTCTAGTTCAGAAGTCTGGTTTTGTGGTTTTCATCTCCTTCTAGCCTCTGACAGGTGGAGCCTACTCTGGAGGTGATGGTTTGGGGATCTCCTCAGAAAGAGGATGCCTTGGTTTGGGGATCTTCTCAGAAAGAGGACGTCTTGGTTTGGGGATCTCCTCAGAAAGAGGATGCCTTGGTTTGGGGATCTCCTCAGAAAGAGGACGTCTTGGTTTGGGGATCTTCTTCTTTCTTCTCCTGGGACACATGAAGGATGATGGAACTGTCAGTGTAGAGGGAGTGTTTTCTCAGGCTTTCAGAGCTACTACTCTTTGGAGTCCTATGTTGAGGTTTTTGAGAGCAGACTATAGTTTAGTTCAGCTCCCTTGAGCTCCTGATACATTTGGGACCGGGTTTTGTAACAGTTGGTAAAGACTTCCACTGCTCACAGAAACGTGAACGTCTATTACATAGATGCGGCTATATTTCTGCACTGAGCTAATCTAGCTACACATATATGCAAACAGCAACAAACGAGCACTTTCCAAGTCATTTAATCCCCCTTCAGCTCGATAAAGACGTGGGACCAGTATGAAAAAGTATATAAATGGATGCATTCACTTCTGTAAGTACTGTAGCTCTGGGTAAGAGCATCTGCTAAATGAATAAAATCTCAAATGTAAACACAAATGAAGAGGAATGCAAAATGAAAGGTTGAGCTGTCAAGCAGAAATGAAGTGTACCCACATTAGGTTATAATCATTGGTTTAATTCCACAAATTTTCTGTTGTTTCAAACTGATTTCAGGTAGGACTTTACATTTGAATGGCCAGGCATTCCCTCTTCAAACCCTCTTCTCTGTGTTGTAATTAAGGTATGTTAATGAAGTTGTTTTGATTAATGAAAGTTCATGTGGGGGAGAGAGAGCAGAGAAAAGCGGAGGCGGTAGAGCAAAATGCTATCTAGGAGGGAACTAGCAGCTCAGCCCACACCTCTCTCATTTGTACATTAATGACCTATTAACCACAGTCATCTGTCAGTGTTGATTCAGATGCAGTGAGCTGAGATAGACATCAAAGATGGAGACAAGGAGCGCTCATATCTTTCTTCCTGTGTGTGTGCACTTCCTAGTGCATGAGTGAGTGTGTGTGTCTGTCAGTCCATGTGTGTTTTTTCTTCTGTCAAATATGGAGGCGGACTGAGAGATAAGGACTGAAAAGCACTGAAACATGATCAATCGGTGTACGCTTGTCTCTTTTGAAGTCGCTATTCCCCCAAGATAGCTAGTTACCCTGACCATGTGACTGTCTCCACAGAGAGCCTTTATTCTCCTATGAGGAGACTGAGAAGGACTGAAGCCCCACTGTGCTAAATGTTTGGGTACTAGAACATCATAACTGTATGTGAGGACGAGGAGTGGGCAAGAGTGTGTGGGCGGTTTAGAACATCACAAATGATGTGAAGGTGGAATGGTTTTATTGATGTGAATGTGGGATGGTTTTATTAATGTGAATTGTAGATCCAGTGATCTATGGAGCTAATGAGAACTACAGCACTCATTTGTCACCTTCAGGAACCTGTTCAAAGCTTTTAATCTCCCACACTGGTCATATCTCTCTCTTTCTCTCTAGCTCTATCTCTCACACAATGACCCAGCTGAAGGTCAGCTCATTAATTAATACATCCGCTCCATGTCTGTCTATTTCCGACACTCTGGATCAATGGGGATTCTCTGTGGTAAAGCTGCTCTCGCTGTAGGTTTATGACTGGCAGGGATTTTCACCATCAAAGGCTTTAATACTGTATTTTGATTATATAGGCCTAGACATCTAGGTTTGTTATGACTGGCAGGTTTGTTTTGGTTATACTAGGTTTGTTGTGACTGGCAGGCTAAGGATACTCTGCAGGACAGCTGAATGTCATGTAGATTAAAATTGGCTCCATCCATCACATGGCTCTAATGAATCCATCAAGTCTCCTCCACACTGTCATCTTCTGACCCACTGCATAATGGATGAACCATTTGAATCAGTTGAATGTAATTAGGCCTGTATGTTTATGAACTGTCTGGTTGGATTTATTTAATGAATTCTCTGGCATGTGCTTTCTGCTTCAGCTTTGAGACTGGATGAAGAATCTGAGCTCGGCTCACAACTGTCTATTCCCCTGGAATCATTCACTTTGATTATGTTGCAACAAACTTTTTCAATTACTGTTTCAGTGGGGGTCCTCTCCCCTCGTTGCCAAGATAATTACCAATATGCTCATCACGTCATATTCCATTTCCCCTCAAAATGGTGAAATGATGTGTGGCGCATGTCAGGTCTGTTCAGAATCCGTTGTTGTGTTACAAAATGACATTACTGGTATTATTGGAATTTACTCAAACAGCTAGCCATGGGCTGGGCCCTGGCTGCCCTATTTGGACGTAAACTCCATCAAACCAGTAGAGTGAGAACTACATTAGACCCAGCAGGGGAAAACACAGTATGGGCCAGTAGAGGGTCAAAACACATGTACCGTCGGGGAAGAACTACTAAGAGCCAGTCAGAGGGGAGAGAACTCCATTATTAGAGCCAGTCAGAGGGGAGAGAACTACAGTATTAGAGCCAGTCAGAGGGGAGAGAACTACATTATTAGAGCCAGTCAGAGGGGAGAGAACTACAGTATTAGAGCCAGTCAGAAGGGATAGATCTACTGAGAGTCAGTAGACATGAACACACAGGAGTAGGAAGAGTCTGTCAGCTGTCACTACGATGTTCTGTGTGTTTGTGTCTCTGCTGCCATGTTGGATCCTGACCTGGGTTCTGTTACTGCAGTTAATTAGAAAACACCTCTGTGATTTGATAGAGGCCACATGGACAGAACATATCCTCTTGTGGTCCCGTGTTGCTCTGTTGGTAGAGCATGGAGCTTGCAATGGCAGGGTTGTGGGTTCGATTCCCACGAGAGACCAGTAAGATTTTTTTTTAAAGAAAACGTAGGCACTCATTACTGTAAGAGCGTCTGCTAAATGACAAACTATTTATTTCTTTATTTAATGGACGTGAACAGAGTTCTGTAGTGAGAATGGAGCAGTGGAGGAGAGGAGGGTTCAGTGTTAGGTTACAAGGTTCATTTAGAGGGAGAAATTCCATTTGTTACTTCCTGTATTTAATTAGTTGAAATGGAATTGACCCCGACCCTGGGGCTAGAGTTCATTAAGGGGCTAGAGTTCATTAAGGGGCTAGAGTTCATTAAGGGGCTAGAGTTCATTAAGGGGCTAGAGTTTATTTAGGTGGTAGTGTTCATTTAGGGCAGGGTTTCCCAAACTCGTTCCTAGGGACCTCAAGGGGTGCACATTTAGTTTTTTGCCCTAAGACTACACAGCTGATGCAAATGATCAAAGCTTGATGATTAGTTGATTATTTGAATCAGTTGTATAGTGCCAAGGCAAAAAACTAAACAAGTACCTCTTGGGGTCCCAGGGACCGAGTTTGGGAAACCCTGATTTAGGGGGTAGTGTTGGGTGACTGCTGCCCATGTGTGTGTCCCTGTGATGTCTGAAACTGCCCTGTTTAACTGTAGTTCTGGGCCCCTGGCTGCCTGTCTGTCTGCCTGTCTGCCTGTCTGTCTGTCTGCCTGTCTGTCTGTGAACGCACTCAGGGGCCAAGCAGCAGCCAGGGGACATGGAGCCACCTTGGCTACTACTGGAACACTAAACTCATTATTAGAGCCAATCAGTGGGGAGAGAACTCGATTATTAGAGCCAGTCAGAGGGGAGAGAACTACATTATTAGAGCCTGTCACAGGGGAGAGAACTCGATTATTAGAGCCTGTCAGAGGGGAGAGAACTCCATTATTAGAGCCAGTCAGAGGGGAGAGACCTACATTATTAGAGCCTGTCACAGGGGAGAGAACTCCATTATTAGAGCCTGTCACAGGGGAGAGAACTCGATCATTAGAGCCAGTCAGAGGGGAGAGAACTCGATTATTAGAGCCTGTCACAGGGGAGAGAACTCGATTATTAGAGCCTGTCACAGGGGAGAGAACTCGATTATTAGAGCCAGTCAGAGGGGAGAGAAATCGATTATTAGAGCCTGTCACAGGGGAGAGAATTCTATTATTAGAGCCTGTCAGAGGGGAGAGAACTCGATTATTAGAGCCTGTCAGAGGGGAGAGAACTCCATTATTAGAGCCTGTCAGAGGGGAGAGAACTCGATTATTAGAGCCAGTCAGAGGGGAGAGAACTCGATTATTAGAGCCTGTCACAGGGGAGAGAACTCGATTATTAGAGCCTGTCAGAGGGGAGAGAACTCCATTATTAGAGCCGGTAGACATGAACACACAGAAGCAGGAAGAGTATGTCAGCTGTCACTATGATGCTCTGTGTGTTTGTGTCTCTGCTGCCATGTTGGATCCTGACCAGGGTTCTGTTACTGCAGTTAATTAGAAAACACCTCTGTGATTTGATAGTGGCCACATGGACAGAACAGATCCTCTTATGGATGGGAACCGAGTTCTGTAGTGCTGTTCTCTTGCCTGGAACAGAGATGTGAAATTCTTGAATTTCAGACAATCAGAAATATTAGGTTACTTCTTGCCTCTGAATCAAATCCTTAGAATTGAGAGATGGCTTTCACTCCCTGATTCACACATCCTACCAGTGGTGAAGAGAATCCCACCATGTCTGTACTGGATTCTGTCCTTAGAGCCTCAATACATTTTCTCTGGCAGATACTGTACATGCCCATCACATCTATTTGAGAAACACACACACACACACACACAAGGATGATTACACGCTACTATACTACTAAGAGTTATGGAGATGGCTGCAGATCAATAGAACAACTAACCACTTCTCATTCTAAACTAGAGCATTTCCAGTGTAAGGTATTTATATACATCGCTGTAACACATGGACAGGAAAGTTGTATTCTATTATTTTTATTTCTCACTACAGATACTCAGATTTTTCCCATTGTTCGTTATTTATGTGTTCATTTAAAGGATACATTTGTAAGTTTTGGCACGACTTTCCATTGATTTCCATTGATGTGGTCCTCTGTAGCTCAATTGGTAGAGCATGGCGCTTGTAACGCCAGGGTAGTGGGTTCGATCCCCGGGACCACCCATATGTAAAAATGTATGCGCACATGACTGTAAGTCGCTTTGGATAAAAGCGTCTGCTAAATGGCATATTATTATTTCAATGGAACACTTCCGCATTCAAACCATCACGACCACAGCATGAATTAGGTCCATTCCTCTGCTGTGGCCAACATTTTTACATTTACATTTTTAGTCATTTAGCAGACGCTCTTATCCAGAGTGACTTACAATTAGTGAGTGCATACATTTTTCATACTGGCCCCCCTTGGGAATCGAACCCACAACCCTGGCGTTGCAAGCGCCATGCTCTACCAACTGAGCTACAGGAGGCCCCTGTATAACTGCTGTATAATTAGGATCAATGCCACAATCAAGGTGTCTAAGAGTTATCTCGCATTAATGTAATCATCCTGCTTCTAACTGTCGATAATGTCTTGTGCAAATGGATTGTTTTATAAATGGTGATTGGATTTAATTGATGACAGAGACAAAACACCTTTGCTAACAATGACCATCAGGGCTGTATGTACATTTGGGGTGTATGTACATTTGATTAGAATCCAATGTCCGTTGGTAACCTCATATTATATTTCCTAGCATTTTGTTCCATGTTACTGTTGGGGAGCAGCTCTCTCCTTTTATCTCTCTCTCGCTCTCACGCTCTCTCTCTCTCTCTCTCTCTCTCAATTTCAATTATCTTCAATTCAAAGGGCTTTATTGGCATGGAAAACATGTTTGAGACATGTCTCTCTCTCCCTCTCTCTCTCGTTGTGTTATCTGTGTAATCAGTGTTTCTGTCTGTCACGTCCCTCTCTGCTCCAGTGACACAGCACGAGTGCTCCTGCTCCACACATCTAAAAATGGCTCCGGATAGAAACAGAGGTTGTTTACTAAAAAGCACTCTGTCCTGGGAAGTCTGCAGCAAAAATACTTCAAAGACAAAAATCACAGCCTCTGTGGCTGAGGTGTTTTTTCTCTTCATCTTCAAGGTTGTCTAAGAGAAGAAATCAAGCCTGGGTGCTTTTACAGTAATGTGGTGTCTTTCATTAGCTGCATGTCCCCAGATACCTCAGCCCAACTCCTCTCCAAGTGTCATCATCCTCCGAAAATCTCTTCTCTCTGGACTTGAGAGAGTGATACACACTGAAGAAACACTCACCTAAGAGAGGTGGAGAATGTCAGGAAAGACACACTTGACAAAACTGAAACAGCAAGACCACATCAGAGAATAGAGATTCTCACCATTGTATTATGCTATTGCAACGCCCTCTGATGAAGCCGATTTGTCTCCAACATTATGCTGAGTAGATGGCATTTCACTCTTATTCTCCTATCATTCCTTGCTTCAGAGTTGAATCACACAGCTCTTCAAAAGGGCTCTGTTAGTTTAAGACTAAATGCTGATCTCATTCAAGCTACTGTATCATAATGAAAGCTAATCAAGCTAGTCAGGCAGTTAGTCTGTGCACATACAGGAATCAGCTGGACTGCATGACAATGCCGTTTTGATTTGTGCTCATTGCTCATGTCAACATCATTATGCTATCGGAGTTCATACCTGCATAATTTGTCTGGTTTGGAGTGAAGAAATATGTGTGGATGATTCATTCAGCTCAGAGGTCAAACAAATATAGAAGCAGAGTGATGTTGGATTTTTGTTAGGATGAAGATAATCTCTGACATGCCTAAAAAAAACATCAAGTTACTCGTCTCTGCTGGCAGTAAATGTGAATTAAAGGCTCTGTGAAGAAAAATATGTTTACCTCTTTGAACACAGCAAGTTTAGTTTCATCAACTGTCTTGAAAGAAGCTGGATACAAATGTTTATTTCAAAAGATAAAAGCTATAAGAGGAGTTGAGCCTAATGTGTACTTTATCAGCCAAGTTGTTGCAGCTGGAGTCTGTTGATGCTACTGTAGCCTGGCTTCCAACCCTAGTGGAGGAGTGAACTAATGTAGCAGTAGGGACTTTAGTTTGATGAGGAAGATGGGGGACACCCTCTGAAAACCCCTCGAGGCTTGAACACATCAAAAAGACTGGTCAACAGTCTGGGTCTTTAGTTTGCTGAGGAAGAGGGATGGGTAGACCCTTGATGAGGGAGAGAGATGGGGAGACCTTTGATGAGGGAGAGATATGGTGGAGACCCTTGATGAGGGAGAGAGATGGGGAGACCCTTGATGAGGGAGAGAGATGGGGGAGACCCTTGATGAGGGAGAGAGATGGAGACCCTTTCCCCTCTGAAAGCTTCTTGGCAGGATCAGGCTGAGGGATTCCCTGGTGCAGAGAGATATGTGTCCTCAGGCTGCTACTATCAGCTACTTCTGTCTGAACTCTCCTTTCATTGGCCCTCATCCTAAATGAACAGATCTGTTCTCTACACCCCACTCTGAGCGTTCCCTCCCAGCTCCACTGCTAATGAGAAATGCCCTAAGATTTCTATATCATTAAGAGATGAAAGGAGGGAAGAGAAGGTCACTCATGCATTATTCAACTGTGGGTGTGTGTGTGTGTGGTTTGTGTGGTGTGTGTGTGTGTGGTGTGTGTGTGTGCATACACCTTTGGGTGGATCTAATGTGTATATCGTTACTGTTGTCTCCAAAGCTCCCAAGTTATGAAATACAGAAACGTGATTTAGTTGATTGAATCCAGGCTCCCCACGTTGCTGATCTACATTTTACATGTACATTTTAGGCATTTAGCAGCCACTCTTATCCAGAGTGACTTTCAGTTAGTGAGTGCATACATTTTCATACTGGCCCCCCGTGGGAAACGAACCCACAACCCTGGCGTTGCAAGCGCCATGCTCTACCAACTGAGCTACACGGGACTGAGTTGTGTTGTCTGAGTTGGCTTCAGTTGGAGGGAATCTCTGCTGACACACAAACAGCAGACAAGCAGAAACACACAGATCTGTATCCACTAGATAAAGGTTAAACAGACATCCTTCCACTCCAACAAAGCTATTTCACCATGCATGCATTTTATTCTGCCTGGTGAGTGTTTTTCATGCATTTACATTTTTTTGTAATTTAGCAGACGCTCTTATCCAGAGCGACTTACAGTTAGTGAGTGCATACATTTTCATACTGTATGCATAAGGATGGACTGGCATCACTACTCTGAAGATTGTATTTTAATGAAAATGACCGCCTCTTCCTCCTCCTATATTGTGATTCATGCTGTGAGTCTAAGGACCCAACCCATATTCAAAGGAAATCACAGACATCTAATGTCATGGTTGTTTTTCCTTTTGATATACAGACAGTGGAAATTAATTAGATACTACACCATTTCAACCACCAATGTTCTGTTCAGCAAGGACAAATGTATAGGCCATTTTCATAATTATAGGTTGATATAACTCCTAATTATTTGTTACCAGGCATTTCACATTTCTGACAAACTGTCATTAGATCAGATTTTCTTTGTGGATGGTCCAGATTTCCATAGAGAATGCCTGCAATTAGTTAGACCAGGGATGGCCAACTTTGATGGGGGTGGGGGCCACAAAAGAACTGAACTCATCATGAGGAGCCGCAGTGGCTCGTGGTTCTGCGTTCCCACATCCCTCATCTAACTCATTTCATGCAATTCTACAAATTTTGCCATGGGTCAGAGAGAAATATTAGCAGTTTTACAGCGAATTTCCAGCATTTCTACACATTTTTGCAATAGGGTGGAGGCAAATGTTTGCTGTTCTTAATATGATAACTGATGATCAATGGGCCCCACCCCGGCCGCTAGACTAATTTACCAGTCCCATTTTTTGGGGCTGACATGGGCTAATTGAGTGACTGCTGATACAGAACCAAATTTCGAAATTGCACCTTGTGTATTCTATTATTGTAACTCTCAACGCTTTCTTGCTTACTACATGATTCCATATGTGTTGTTTAATAGTTTTGATGTCTTCACTATTATTCTACAATGTAGAAAATAGTAAAAATAAAGAAAAACCCTGGGATCAGTCAGTGTCCAAACTTTTGAGGGGTACTGTGTGTGTATATATACAGTGCATTCAGAAGGTATTCAGACCCACTAACTTTTTCCACAATTTGTTACGATACAGCCTTATTCTAAAATTGATTAAATTAAAAATATTCCTCATCAATCTACACACAATACCCCATAATTACAAAGCGAAAACAGGTTTTTAAAAATGTTTGCAAATGTATTAAAAATGAAAAACATAAGTATTCAGACCCTTTGCTATGAGACTCGAAATTAAGCTCAGATACATCCTGTTTCCTTTGATCATCCTTGAGATGTTTCTACAACTAAGTTTTGGAGTCCAGCTGTGGTAAAATCAATTAATTGGACATGATTCGGAAAGGCACACACCTGTCTATATAAGGTCCCACAGTTGACAGTGCCTGTCAGAGCAAAAACCAAGCCATGAGGTCGAAGGAATTATCCGTAGAGCTCCGAGTCAGGATTGTGTCGAGGCACAGATCTTGGGAAGGGTACCAAAAAATGTCTGCAGCATTGAAGGTCCCCAAGAACACAGTGGCCTCCAGCATTCTTAAATGGAAGAAGTTTGGAACCACCAAGACTCTTCCTAGAGCTGTTAATCGGGGGAGTAGGGCCTTGGTCAGGGAGGTGACCAAGAACCCGATGGTCACGCTGACAGAGCTCCAGAATTCCTCTGTGGAGATGGGATAACCTTTCAGAAGGACAACAATCTCTGCAGCACTCCACCAATCAGGCCTTTATGGTAGAGTGGCCAGATGGAAGCCACTCTTCAGTAAAAGGCACATCACAGCCCGCTTGGAGTTTGCCGAAAGGCACCTAAAGAACTTTGACCATGAGAAACAAGATTCTCTGGTCTGATGAAAGCAAGATTGAACTCTTTTGCCTGAATGCCAAGCGTCACGTCTGGAGGAAACCTGGCACCATCCCTATGGTGAAGCATGGTGATGGCAGCATCATGCTGTGGGTATGTTTTTCAGTGGCAGGGACTGGGAGATTAGTCAGAATCGATGGTGAAGATGAACAGAGCCAAGTACAGAGAGATCCTTGATGAAAACCTGCTCCAGAGCGCTCAGGACCTCAGACTGGGGCGAAGGCTCACCTTCCAACAGGACAACGACCCTAAGCACACAGCCAAGACAACGCAGGAGTGGCTTCAGGACAAGTCTCTGAATGTCCTTGAGTGGCCCAACCAGAGCCTGGACTTGAACCTGATCAAACATCTGAGAGACCTGAAAATAGCTGTGCAGCGACGCTCCCCATCCAACCTGACAGAGCTTGAGAGGATCTGCAGAGAAGAATGGGAGAAACTCCCCAAATATAGGTGTGCCAAGCTTGTAGCGTCATACCCAAGAAGAATCAAGGCTGTAATCGCTGCCAAAGGTGCTTCAACAAAGTACTGAGTAAAGGGTCTGAATACTTATGGAAATGTGATATTTCAGTTTTTTGCAAAAATGTCTATAAACCTGTTTTGCTTTGTCATTATGGGGTATTGTGTGAAGATTTTATCAATTTTAGAATAATGCTGTAACGTAACAAAATGTGGAAAAAGTCAAGGGGTCTGAGTACTTTCTGAGTGCGCTGTATGTATATATAATTTATTTGTATTTATTAGTATTATTTTGAATTGGTCCACGGGCCTACAAAAGGGGCCACCAGTTGCCCATCTCTGAGTTAGACCATACTCTTTTTCTCTCTCTCTCTCTCTCTCTCTCCATTCTCCCATTCTTTCCATCAGTTAATCCTGAGTGCAGCCTACCTTCCCTGTCCTGGGGGTGTGTGACCATGATAGTGTTACATAAGGCTTTTCTTTGTAAAAAGGCTGTAATTGGCCTGTTAGCTGTTAAGACCTTGTCTGTTGTAAACTAAATGTCCCTGAGCTTCTCATTGCCTGCTGGGAGGCCTCCAGCCAAGGGGCCTTAAAACAGATTCATTTCCCATCAGCACCCTGGGGGACCGTTTATTGCAGCTTAAAAGCCCTTTACTGCAGCTCAACGGCCAGTAAGGCTGAGGTCAGGCCTGTGGCAGTGTTTCTCATGCCATTACTTTGGCACATAGATAAAAAGGGAATGTCCACCGTTTTGCCAGACTTGATATTTTAATAAAGCTTTGGTGATTTAAGATTTATTTCAAAGAGTTCTCACGAGCCAAACCCTTTTTTCGATAGTCTTGACCTTTTGGCAAATGCATTGGGTATGACAAAAAAAAACTGCCTTCATTGAGAGGAAGGGAGGCTATGCTTGGTTTTTAATCAAATTAAACGAAATGGGAAAAAACTGTTTGTTTCTAACTGCAAGGTTTACGGGCACAATAAGCACATATCTCTTGTTCCATGTGCATATGGGCACTTTGCGTCACGGCTGAATAGGCTGCACTTCCGCTGTCAAAATCCATGCCATAACCAACCGTGTTTGCACTAAGACCAGCTTTTGATTGGTCTTAAATATCCCCATGAGCGCATACTGAAATTGGCACTTTGGCGCACATTTTTAAGGACACACCTCAGATATTGCCACCCCTCCCACCTCAGCGTAAGTGAGCTCATATAAGACCAGTAAATTACCAATACATGCGCGAGGGTTTGAAAGTAGAAGAGCGCCGGCTTTAACAGGTCGAAATTGCAAACAAGCGTGCATGCTTAACGCCAGCCGGAAATAGAGCCATAGGTATAGTAACCCAATTTTGTTACAATTTAATCACCATTGATTTTTTTCTGCCTCGTTTGACCTTGGATTGAACACAGTGAAATGTTCAATAGAGCTTACACATTGAATCAATCCCTGCCAAACGTTAGGCATTGAATCATTAAAAACAAGAGAAAAATGGTATAACACGTGTTCAATCTCAAACACGTGTTCAATCTCAGACCATGGTGCTTGCCTACGGAGCTGTGAGGGGAACGGCACCTCCGTACCTTCAGGCTCTGATCAGTCCCTACACCCAAACGAGGGCATTGCGTTCATCCACCTCTGGCCTGCTGGCTCCCCTACCTCTGCTGAAGCACAGTTCCCGCTCAGCCCAGTCAAAACTGTTCGCTGCTCTGGCACCCCAATGGTGGAACAAGCTCCCTCACGACGCCAGGACAGCGGAGTCACTCACCACCTTCCGGAGACATTTGAAACCCCACCTCTTTAAGGAACACCTGGGATAGGATAAGTAATCCTTCTACCCCACCCCACCCCCCCAAAAAAAATAAATAATAATTGTAAAGTGGTTATCCCACTGGCTATAAGGTGAATGCACCAATTTGTAAGTCGCTCTGGATAAGAGCGTCTGCTAAATGACGTAAATGTAAAATGTAAATGTGTTCGATCTCAGACACGTGTTCAATCTCAGACACATTTAGCCCTTCTCGTGATGACAGATGTATATTTTCACTGGCTGAAATGTATTCTGGTTGGGCCAGCGAGCGAGCGTGTGTGTGTGTGTGGTGTGTGTGTGTGTGCTCGTACAAGCGTGTGTGTGTGTGCGTACAAGCGTGTGTGTGTGCGTACAAGCGCGTGTGTGTGCGTACAAGCGCGTGTGTGTGCGTACAAGCGCGTGTGTGTGCGTACAAGCGCGTGTGTGTGCGTACAAGCATGTGTGTGTGTGCATATAAGCGTGTGTGTGCGCGTACGTGCGTGTGTGTGTGTGTGTGTGAGCGAGTGTGCGTGCTTGCGTGTTGATCTTTCCACTGCTGTTTGCTATTCAGGCACACTCCCTCTGCTCTGTGTGGATGTGATTGAGTGGAAGGGAGCTGAGGGGTGCCATGCCAGAGCTCTGCCCTCAAGGTCACTCTAAGAAGCCTTAAATCCCAGGAGGCCAGCGCCCAGGCAGGCAGGGATGGATGGATAGATGGAGGGAACTAGTGAGAGGCACTGTGGATATTTCCTCCACGACATCTTATCATTACAGGGCATGAGGGTAACCTTGACCTTGACCAGCACTTTAACTCTCTGTCAAAGCCTTCAGCCCTTAGATAACTATGAACCTAATAAGATCAGAACTCCTAAGACAACCAAGACTTCCTGTAATGAGCTGAACAGTATGGATGCATCGGGATCTTTTGAGAGACAGTGGCCCTGTGGATGTATCATGACCCTTTGAGAGACATTGGCCCTGTGGATGCATTGGGATCCTTTGAGAGACATTGGCCCTGTGGATGTATCATGGCCCTTTGAGAGACAGTGGCCCTGTGGATGTATCATGGCCCTTTGAGAGACAGTGGCCCTGTGGATGTATCATGGCCCTTTGAGAGACAGTGGCCCTGTGGATGTATCATGGCCCTTTGAGAGACAGTGGCCCTGTGGATGTATCATGACCCTTCGAGAGACAGTGGCCCTGTGGATGTATCATGGCCCTTTGAGAGACAGTGGCCCTGTGGATGTATCATGGCCCTTTGAGAGACAGTGGCCCTGTGGATGTATCATGACCCTTCGAGAGACAGTGGCCCTGTGGATGTATCATGGCCCTTTGAGAGACAGTGGCCCTGTGGATGTATCATGGCCCTTTGAGAGACAGTGGCCCTGTGGATGTATCATGACCCTTCGAGAGACAGTGGCCCTGTGGATGTATCATGGCCCTTTGAGAGACAGTGGCCCTGTGGATGTATCATGACCCTTTGAGTCAGTGGCCCTGTGGATGTATCATGTCCCTTTGAGTCAGTGGCCCTGTGGATGTATCATGACCCTTTGAGTCAGTGGCCCTGTGGATGTATCATGTCCCTTTCGGAAACTGAGACTATTTTAAGCTGAACATTGGTGTCACTGTCTCTAAACTGACTCAGGTTGTTCTGTCTTCTTGCTGGCATTTGTGCCCCGTTTGTTTTGACTGGTCAGTGAGACTTTACTTTACTGACTTTATTGTCCCCATGGGGAAATGTTGTTACAGTATCATGTACACGTTTAAAGTGGCGTTTAAATACAGTAGAAAACATTGACAATACAAAATTCATAAGTTACATACCAATAAAAAGAGACTAGCCTGCTGGCTTACTGGGTCGATAGGAACATTAGCCCGAGCTGTTTAGGAGGGATATCACACCTGGCACAAATGATTGTCTAGTTCTGTTTTTCCTGCCGGGGGGTGCCCTATACCTGCTCCCAGAGGGGAGTAGTTTAAAGTCCGGGTACAGAGGGTGGCTTGGGTCTAAAAGGATTTTGTGAGCCTTGCTGAGGGCTCTGACCTTAAAGATCTCATCCAGGCCTGCCTGTTTCTCTGGCTGACAGTGGCTTTGCCAAACCAACAAACAATACAAAAAGTTAAAATACTGTCAATTAAAGATTTGTAAAACAGAGTCTGTATAGTACAGTCAACATTAAAAGATCCCAGCTTTCTGAGAAAGTACACTCTGCTGACTCTTTTTGTAGATCAGGTCTGTACATTTACTCCACTGAAGCTTATTATCCAAGAGGACACCCAGATATTTGTATTCCTCTACAATCTCTATGTTCTGACCTCTGATGGATGTTGCAGAGGTAGGTGTTATTCGCTTCCTGAAGTCTATGCATATCTCTTTGGTCTTGTTGGTATTGAGGACCAAGTGTGATTCATCACACCACTCTACAAAGTAATTTAGGACCAGACTAGTTAGTTTGACTGGTCAGTGAGACTAGATAGTTTATGACTGGTCAATGAGACTAGTTAGTTTATGACTGGTCAGTGATATGGGTTAATTTGTTTTATCTGGTCAGTGGGACTAGTTAATTTATGACTGGTCAGTGAGACTAGTTAATTTATGACTGTTCAGTGAGACTAATTAGTTTATGACTTGTCAGTGAGACTGTTTACACAACTCCTGTTTGACCTTCTATAAAACACATCCAACCCCCTTCTGCAGTTAGAGCTCTTTCAGTTGTTGTTTCGGTGGATCCACCAAGGAGGGTATAATTGGTTAACAAGCCTCTGCGCCTCATCTCTACCTGCCTGTTTGTTCAGAGACACCATGATGACTGCTGTAAAACAACCATCCCCTCTCCCCTCTGTCATATAAGAGTTACAGCACCTTGACACTCTGTGGAACCGCTAATGGGTGTGTAATTGGTTAATGAGTGTGTAGTTGGTTAACAAGCCTCTGAGGATCTTGTGAGAGACATTTACATTGGAACAACAGAGTAAGGTTTTAGCAGCCTTTGCCATGGCAACCCAGAGATGGGAGTGTAATGACAGTATCAGGGATGCAGGGACAGAGGTAACATCATTAGTCCTTTATTATACCAGACCCTCAGCTGCCTCGGAACAATCAGCCCGCTGCTCAAGTCATTAGACAGGGCATTCAGGGCACGAGCGTGTGCGCACACACACACACACACACACACACACACAAACACACACACACACACACACACACACACAAACACACACACACACACACACACACACACACACACACACACACACCGCATCAGTGTTAGCAGATGACAGTGACCTTTGAGGTGTGTGAAGTGTTGTTCTCATCATCACCAACTGTTTGTTTTGGCATCATGAGGCAGGAGAGCAGTTCAGTCTCACAGCCAGCCGACACACTTTACCGTCCGTCAGAGGGACGGTACAGAAAGGAGAGAAAGAAAGCCCATTTAGAGTTGTGAAATGGTTTAGTTGGGAGGAATAGGCTGGGGTTGAATGTGTGATCTGTTCTTGTTTACTTGGAGCCTTTTACTATAGGGATCTGAATGTGTTACACTTGGCAGAAAACCAGACTGCTTGCCCTGGGGTTGTGTCTGAATTTATGTGTGTGTCTGTAATAGTAGGCCAGAGATTTTTTTAAACTTTTGAATGCCCAACTGCTTTAGAAATGGCCTTTTGCTTAGTACCATAGCTAGTAATCTGCTTTTCATGAGCTTTATTCCCTTAAATTGACCGTGACAGAGAAACATAAACTAGCCCTGCTCTTTTACTGGAGTTTTATTGGCTAGATTCTATCTGAGGAGTGTCAGGAGGCCCTCTCTTAGTAGAGGTCAGAGGTCAGAGGAAGTTCAGCCAAGAGGGGAATTAATGGTAGAAGGCTCATGGGAGCCATGCCTAGGCAGAAGGCTGTGTTACTGGACAGATGGCCTCTCCTCCCTCCACTCTGAATACAATGTAAAAGGCTGTGTTACTGGACAGATGGCCTCTCCTCCCTCCACTCTGAATACAATGTAAAAGGCTGTGTTACTGGACAGATGGCCTCTCCTCCCTCCACTCACAAATAGGAATTATTCCTCTCTGCTATTGCCAGACATGAATTAAAACAAAAATTCATTTTTTTTTCTTACAGGGTTATAGAAGCTATTAAATAGGAAATGTGAGGGAATCGAACAAAGCAGCCAAAAGTGATTTGAGACAATATCTGATTGTACCGTATTCTGATCTCTCTCTCTCTCTCTCTCTCTCTCTCTCTCTCTCTCTCTCTCTCTCTCTCTCTCTCTGTCTCTCGCTCTGTCTCTCTCTCTGTCTCCCTCTTTGCAGAAGGGATTCGTAACATGTCAATGGACTCCAGCCCCATGCCGATGCCCATGTCAGACCCCAACGCCTGGGCCACAGCCATGAACAACCTTGGCATGGCTCCCATGAGCATGACGGGACAGCCCCTTATGTCAGGTATGGGTCATTTAATCCTAACCGTACTGTAGTTATAACCCTAACCATACCTCTACTGTAGTTATAACCGTACCTCTACTGTAGTTATAACCCTAACCCTACCTCTACTGTAGTTATAACCATACCTCTACTGTAGTTATAACCCTAACCATACCTCTACTGTAGTTATAACCATACCTCTACTGTAGTTATAACCGTACCTCTACTGTAGTTATAACCCTAACCATACCTCTACTGTAGTTATAACGTACCTCTACTGTAGTTATAACCCTAACCCTACCTCTACTGTAGTTATAACCCTAACCATACCTCTACTGTAGTTATAACATACTCTACTGTGTTATAACCTAACCATACCTCTACTGTAGTTATAACCATCAACTATACCTACTACTGTAGTTATAACCCTAACCATACCTCACTGTAGTTATAACCCTAACCCTGCCTCTACTGTAGTTATAACCATACCTCTACTGTAGTTATAACATACCTCTACTGTAGTTATAACATACCTCTACTGTAGTTATAACATACCTCTACTGTAGTTATAACCCTACCTCTACTGTAGTTATAACCCAACTACCTCTACTGTAGTTATAACCTAACCATACCTCTACTGTGTTATAACTAACTACCCTACTGTAGCATAACATACCTACTTACTGTAGTTATAACCCTAACCATCCCTACTGTAGTTAAACCCTAACATACCTCTACTGTAGTATAACCATACCTCTACTGTAGTTATAACCCTAACCATACCTCTACTGTAGTTATAACCCTAACCATACCTCTACTGTAGTTATAACCCTAACCATACCTCTACTGTAGTTATAACCCTACCTCTACTGTAGTTATAACCCTACCTCTACTGTAGTTATAACCCTAACCATACCTCTACTGTAGTTATAACCCTAACCGTACCGCTACTGTAGTTATAACCCTAACCATACCTCTACTGTAGTTATAACCCTAACCATACCTCTACTGTAGTTATAACATACCTCTACTGTAGTTATAACCCTAACCATACCTCTACTGTAGTTATAACCCTAACCATACCTCTACTGTAGTTATAACCCTAACCATACCTCTACTGTAGTTATAACATACCTCTACTGTAGTTATAACCATAACCATACCTCTACTGTAGTTATAACCATAACATACCTCTACTGTAGTTATAAACCCTAACCATACCTCTACTGTAGTTATAACCATACCCTCTACTGTAGTTATAACCCTAACCATACCTCTACTGTAGTTTAAACCGTACCTCTACTGTAGTTATAACCCTAACCATACCTCTACTGTAGTTATAACCCTAACCATACCTCTACTGTAGTTATAACCGTACCGCTACTGTAGTTATAACCCTAACCATACCTCTACTGTAGTTATAACATACCTCTACTGTAGTTATAACCCTAACCATACCTCTACTGTAGTTATAACGTACCTCTACTGTAGTTTATAAACCCTAACCCTACCTCTACTGTAGTTATAACCCTAACATACCTCTACTGTAGTTATAACATACCTCTACTGTAGTTATAACCCTAACCATACCTCTACTGTAGTTATAACCCTAACCATACCTCTACTGTAGTTATTACCATACCTCTACTGTAGTTATAACCCTAACCCTACCTCTACTGTAGTTATAACCCTAACCATACCTCTACTGTAGTTATAACCCTAACCATACCTCTACTGTAGTTATAACCCTAACCATACCTCTACTGTAGTTATAACCCTAACCATACCTCTACTGTAGTTATAACCCTACCTCTACTGTAGTTATAACCCTAACCATACCTCTACTGTAGTTATAACCCTAACCCTACCTCTACTGTAGTTATAACCCTAACCATACCTTGACTGTAGTTATAACCCTACCTCTACTGTAGTTATAACCCTAACCATACCTCTACTGTAGTTATAACCCTACCCCTACCTCTACTGTAGTTTATACCCTAACCATACCTCTACTGTAGTTATAACCCTAACCATACCTCTACTGTAGTTATAACCATACCTCTACTGTAGTTATAACCCTAACCATACCTCTACTGTAGTTATAACCCTAACCCTACTCTCTACTGTAGTTATAACCCTAACCATACCTCTACTGTAGTTATAACCCTAACCATACCTCTACTGTAGTTATAACCCTAACCATACCTCTACTGTAGTTATAACCCTAACCATACCTCTACTGTAGTTATAACCCTAACCATACCTCTACTGTAGTTATAACCCTACCTCTACTGTAGTTATAACCCTAACCATACCTCTACTGTAGTTATAACCCTAACCATACCTCTACTGTAGTTATAACCATACCTCTACTGTAGTTATAACCCTACCTCTACTGTAGTTATAACCCTACCTCTACTGTAGTTATAACCCTACCTCTACTGTAGTTATAACCCTACCCTACTACTGTAGTTATAACCCCCTAACCATACCTCACTGTAGTTATAACCATACCTCTACTGTAGTTATAACCCTACCTACTCTGTAGTTATAACCCTACCTCTACTGTAGTTATAACCCTACCTCTACTGTAGTTATAACCCTACCTCTACTGTAGTTATAACCCTGCCTCTACTGTAGTTATAACCCTAACCATACCTCTACTGTAGTTTATAAACATACCTCTACTGTAGTTATAAACCGTACCTCTACTGTAGTTATAAACCCTAACCATACCTCTACTGTAGTTAAAAACCATACCTCTAACTGTAGTTATAACCCTAACCCTACTCTACTGTAGTTATAACCCTAACCCTACCTCTACTGTAGTTATAACCCTAACCATACATCTACTGTAGTTATAACCGTACCTCTACTGTAGTTATAACCGTACCTCTACTGTAGTTATAACCCTAACCGTACCTCTACTGTAGTTATAACCCTAACCATACCTCTACTGTAGTTATAACCCTAACCATACCTCTACTGTAGTTATAACCCTAACCATACCTCTACTGTAGTTATAACCCTAACCATACCTCTACTGTAGTTATAACCCTAACCATACCTCTACTGTAGTTATAACCATACCTCTACTGTAGTTATAACCCTAACCATACCTCTACTGTAGTTATAACCCTAACCATACCTCTACTGTAGTTATAACCCTAACCGTACCTCTACTGTAGTTATAACCCTAACCCTACCTCTACTGTAGTTATAACCCTAACCCTACCTCTACTGTAGTTATAACCCTAACCCTACCTCTACTGTAGTTATAACCCTAACCCTACCTCTACTGTAGTTATAACCCTAACCATACATCTACTGTAGTTATAACCCTAACCGTACCTCTACTGTAGTTATAACCCTAACCGTACTTACTGCAGTAGTGACTAGAGGGATTGTCTGGAGTGTTTGTGTCTGTGTGGCTGCAGTACAGACTAGGGGGAGTGTCTGGATTGTTTGTCTGTGTGACTGCAGTAGAGACTAGGAGCAGTGTCTGTGTGGCTGCAGTGGAGACTAGGGGGAGTGTCTGTATGGCTACAGTAGAAACTAGGGGGAGTGTCTGTGTGGCTGCAGTAGAGACTAGGGGGAGTGTCTGTGTGGCTGCAGTAGAGACTAGGGGGAGTGTCTGTGTGGCTGCAGTAGAGACTAGGGGGAGTGTCTGTGTGGCTGCAGTAGAGACTAGGGGGAGTGTTTGGAGTGTTTGTGGCTGCAGTATCCAGTGGGGGTTTCTGTCTGTGTAGCTGCAGACTGGTTGCTGGATTCTGTGGATCCTGCGGCTCTGCTCACATTTGCCTACGTCGGCCATTTTCTGTGTCTCTATTCAAGTGAACATGCTGCGCTGAGTCAGCCAGATGGAGTTATGACTCTATTATCAGTGTGAGGACTTGAGATCCACACAGCTCAGTTCCAGACAGTTGACAGGAGCTTTGGGAGTATCACCCTCTTTTGCAAAATTCATGCTTGTTCATATCTGCCATCAACCCCAATACTTTATTGTTTCATACAGAACTTGAGTTATGCATACAATTTATGATTAAGCCCTAAGCTAACCTGTTCTGTGCAATGTTCTCTGTCTAAATATTCATGTTAAGTTCAAAAGAATACAAGATCAAAATTGCTGATATCATTCAAACCAATGAGGGTTTGGAACTTTAAAGCCAATTATCTCAGGATCATATTTTTGCAGATAAAAGCTTATAGTCCCAAGCTATCGATGTCATCATTTGTCACCAGAGGAAGAGGCGATTGCGAGAGGTTTTACTCTGCCCAAAGTCTTTCCATGAAAATAAGGCTACGAAGTGAGGAGTGTTTGTATATGGAGGTCAATGAGGGTGTTGAATTTGGTCAATAAAAATGTAATTGCTAATTTGCTATGTGAGGGTTATTTGATCGAATGCACTAATATAAGTGGACGCACGTGGCATTTTGACTACTTTGAAAAAAACTACTTTATATCGAAGTTGTGCCTGTTGTCATATAGCTAGAGGATTCATCATGGATATAACCCATTTAAACATGGACATTGCCATTGGGGGCTTCCGCCCTTTTAAAATCATATGGGTGGGGATTCCTATGCGTTGGGAGCAATCAGCCAATGAAGAAGAAGAACATTGACTACTTTAAAATGGAGATGGCCTCAATGTGGTTGCTCATGCTGTCACAGACGCTATAATGGCATAGATACCAAAATTAGTCGTCTATCTCTATGGCCTTTTGTTCACACATGTATCTGCCCTCTCATTGGCTAGAATGGTCCCACCTGATCTCACCTCCTCCCGCCTGCCTTCCGTCATTGAGGCCATGTATTTCCATTGTTAGAGCGGTCACTCGAATATCTTGTCAATATAATAGACAATCTTTGTCACTCAGTCAGGTGAAATTACAGTGGCAGAGCCAACAGATATGTTATCATGAGTCACTCAGTCAGGTGAAATTACAGTGGCAGAGCCAACAGATATGTTATCATGAGTCACTCAGTCAGGTGAAATTACAGTGGCAGAGCCAACAGATATGTTATCATGAGTCACTCAGTCAGGTGAACCATAGAGACGTGTCATTAGACCGTCCTTGGGAGAGAGGAGTGAGAGGAACCAGAGCTCCTTCTAGACCCATAATGTTCCATCAATGTTTGTTTAATGTTTTGGAACTGAGAGTTTGAGATGAATGAAACGCAATATGGCGCTACGCTTCTAGTGTTTATTATTTGTTCAATATCATTAGAAGCGCTGCGGGGCATTTATCACTTTAACATTACGTTTTGACTCCTCCAGCTATGATGATTTATGCAGCCATGTGTCGTTCCTCTCATATTTCTAGACTGTCTTCTTTCCCAAAGCCTTTTCTAAACCACCTCCTTCAGCTTGTTTAAATCACATTCATATCAACAGAGCTACAGTATTCTAGGCCTCACTGTAATCCACTAGGTCTCCATATTTTAAATGAAGTGGGCTTGGAGGATGCTATTCCCCTACTGGGTTTTTCCTATTGAATTTCATTTGTACAATTTACTGAGCTGCTGCCAGACTTAGCAGACTCTCTTTGCTAGGCTGTTGTGCAAGAGAAAATGATGCACTTTGTTGAGCGAGTTATAGTTGTAGAGCTGTGTTAGTGTGATGGAGAGGTTATAGTTGTAGAGCTGTGTTAGTGTGATGGAGAGGTTATAGTTGTAGAGCTGTGTTAGTGTGATGGAGAGGTTATAGTTGTAGAGCTGTGTTAGTGTGATGGAGAGTTATAGTTGTAGAGCTGTGTTAGTGTGATGGAGAGGTTATAGTTGTAGAGCTGTGTTAGTGTGATGGAGAGGTTATAGTTGTAGAGCTGTGTTAGTGTGATGGAGAGGTTATAGTTGTAGAGCTGTGTTAGTGTGATGGAGAGGTTATAGTTGTAGAGCTGTGTTAGTGTGATGGAGAGGTTATAGTTGTAGAGCTGTGTTAGTGTGATGGAGAGGTTATAGTTGTAGAGCTGTGTTAGTGTGATGGAGAGGTTATAGTTGTAGAGCTGTGTTAGTGTGATGGAGAGGTTATAGTTGTAGAGCTGTGTTAGTGTGATGGAGAGGTTATAGTTGTAGAGCTGTGTTAGTGTGATGGAGAGGTTATAGTTGTAGAGCTGTGTTAGTGTGATGGAGAGGTTATAGTTGTAGAGCTGTGTTAGTGTGATGGAGAGGAATACTGGTGTGTATCCGTGTGTTCTGTCATTAAGCGCCTTGAGCCAAGTATAAGGAAGCTGCCGTTAGTGCTGCTACCTTCATTAGAGGACTCTCTCTGCATCTCTTAAATACCGCAGCTGCATTGGTATCACACAGACACACACCATCATTGCCAGCGGTCAGGCTGCAGTCAGGTTGGCTGTGTAATAGTGGGAAGGTGGTGAGGCGGCGTGTGGGACAGCTGTAGTCCTCCTCATGAATCACCTGGAGAAACAGATCTTCCATATCTTCCCTCTCTACTCTCCCTCTCTACTCTCCCTCTCTACTCTCCTCTACTCTCCCTCTCTCCCTCTCTCTCTACTCTCCCTCTCTCTCTCCCTCTCTCTCTCTCTCTCTCTCTCTCTCTCTCTCGTTCTCTACAAAACTCACAAAGTAAAGTAGGACAAATAATATTCATCTGGCACACGCACTGTTTAATTATACATGCATACATTTATACATTATACATTACATCTACATCCTGTTTTTATTTAAATTAAATACAACTTTATTATTCTCCTCTGGGGCAGTTAAGAATGTTAAATTACAAATATCAACTTTTGAAAGTTGTCAGTCCAGAAAACAAACTAGTCTCAATGTCACCTCTTCCATCTGTTTATCAGTGAAGTCAGAGGTGGCATTCTTATTGAAACCCAGGAGTTCCATGGTCCAAGGGGTAACATTATTTGACTATATTTTATTTACTTTTAAATAATTAGTGATTATTGAGGAAAAAATGTATGAAGAAATTAGCTAAAGCCAAGGTTGACCACTAACGCTGTTCCTTCTAAACCAGTGAACTGAGTAGCCAGACACTAAACATGCCCTGTACTGAACTCCATCTATAATTCAGAAAGGCAGAGCTGCTGTGTTTTGCTGGGAACTTCTCAGTCTCAGTGAGATCTGATCCACAGTCAGTTCAGGACTTTATTAACACACCATGCCTTTTTCTAGGTTAATGGTGGCCAAACAGTTGAGAGACTAGATGGCTTTAGAGACACAATACTGGTGGTTTCAATTGTTGTATGAGGATATTATACAGTTGGTTACAAAGAATGCTTTCCTGGTCTGCTGGAGGCCCACAAACAACACACACACACGCACACGCACACGCACACTTAAAGCCTTTCTTACTAGATCAGCTTGTACCTTTGAACTAATCCACCTGGATTTTCCATTGATTCTCCATGTGAGGGATTGACCTTCATCCTCTCCTCAATAATTTTTCCTCTGGAGCGCTCTCTCTCTTTCTCCCTCCTTCGTTCTTACAGGAGTCAATCTAACTTCCCTTGCCAAAGAACACAGCTCTGTTACAACACGTGTGTGCCAAGATTCACTGACTCCCATTGAGTAGAACTGGTTTCAAGGAGCCCCTGACTCTAAGCCAAGCCGATCAACATCTAGACAGCTGGATAAATAAACAGTTCAAGTCGAGGGAAATCTTAAAGCTACAGCATGCAATGACATTCTAGATGATTCTGTGCTTCCAACTTTGTGGCAACAGTTTGGGGAAGGCCCTTTCCTGTTTCAGCATGACAATGCCCCTGAGCACAAAGCGAGGTCCACACAGAAATGTTTTGTCGAGATCGGTGTGGAAGAACTTGACTAGCCTGCACAGAGCCCTGACCTCAACCCCATTGAACACCTTTGGGATGAATTGAAACGATGACTGCGAGCCTGGCCTATGCTATTGTGCTCTTGTGGCTGAATGGAAGCAAGTCCCCGCAGCAATGTTCCAACATCTAGTGGAAAGCCTTCCCAGAAGAGTGGAGGCTGTTATAGCAGCAAAGGGGGGGACCATATTAATGCCCATGATTTTTGAATGAGATGTTCGACGAGCGGGTGTCCTCATACTGGGGCTCCCGAGTGGCGCAGGGGTCTAAGGCACTGCATCTCAGTGCTAGAGGCTGTATCACAATTGGCCCAGCGTCGTCCGGGTTTGTCCGGGGTAGGCCATCATTGTAAATAAGAATTTGTTCTTAACTGACTTGCCTAGTTAAATAAATGTTGGATAAATATATAAATACTTTGGATTATGTAGTGTATATACACTGAGTGTACAAAACATTAAGGACACATGCTCTTTCCATGACGTAGACTGACCAGGTGAAAGCTATGATCCCTTATTGATGTCAATTGTTAAATCCACTTCAATCAGTGAAAATGAAGGGGAGGAGACAGGTTAAATAATGAATTTTAAGCCTTGAGGCAATTGAGACATTGATTGTGTATGTGTGCCATTCAGAGGGTGAATGGGCAAGAAAAAATATTTGTGTCTTTGTAGGGGAAATGGTAATAGGTGCCAGGCGCATCGGTTTGTGTTAAGAATTGCAACGCTGCTGGGTCTTTCACGCTCAACAGTTTCCTGTGTATATCAAGAATGGTACACCACCCAAAGGACATCCAGCCAACTTGACACAACTGTGGAAAGCATTGGAGTCAACATGGGCCAGCATCCCTGTGGAACGCTTTCGACACCTTATAGAGTCCATGCCCCGACAAATTTGAGGCTGTTCTTAGTGCAAAAGAGGGGGGTGCAACTCAATATTAGGAAGGTGTTACTAATGTTTTGTATACTCTGTGTATACCAGTGCCTTATATTCTTACAGTGGGGAAAAAAAAGTATTTAGTCAGCCACCAATTGTGCAAGTTCTCCCACTTAAAAAGATGAGAGAGGCCTGTAATTTTCATCATAGGTACACGTTAACTATGACAGACAAAATGAGAAAAAAAAATCCAGAAAATCACATTGTAGGATTTTTAATGAATTTATTTGCAAATTATGGTGGAAAATAAGTATTTGGTCAATAACAAAAGTTTCTCAATACTTTGTTATATACCCTTTGTTGGCAATGACACAGGTCAAACGTTTTCTGTAAGTCTTCACAAGGTTTTCACACACTGTTGCTGGTATTTTGGCCCATTCCTCCATGCAGATCTCCTCTAGAGCAGTGATGTTTTGGGGCTGTCGCTGGGCAACACAGACTTTCAACTCCCTCCAAAGATTTTCTATGGGGTTGAGATCTGGAGACTGGCTAGGCCACTCCAGGACCTTGAAATGCTTCTTACGAAGCCACTCCTTCGTTGCCCGGGCGGTGTGTTTGGGATCATTGTCATGCTGAAAGACCCAGCCATGTTTCATCTTCAATGCCCTTGCTGATGGAAGGAGGTTTTCACTCAAAATCTCACGATACATGGCCCCATTCATTCTTTCCTTTACACGGATCAGTCGTCCTGGTCCCTTTGCAGAAAAACAGCCCCAAAGCATGATGTTTCCACCCCCATGCTTCACAGTAGGTATGGTGTTCTTTGGATGCAACTCAGCATTCTTTGTCCTCCAAACACGACGAGTTGAGTTTTTACCAAAACGTTATATTTTGGTTTCATCTGACCATATGACATTCTCCCAATCCTCTTCTGGATCATCCAAATGCACTCTAGCAAACTTCAGACGGGCCTGGACATGTACTGGCTTAAGCAGGGGGACACGTCTCGCACTGCAGGATTTGAGTCCCTGGCGGCGTAGTGTGTTATTGATGGTAGGCTTTGTTACTTTGGTCCCAGCTCTCTGCAGGTCATTCACTAGGTCCCCCCGTGTGGTTCTGGGATTTTTGCTCACCGTTCTTGTGATCATTTTGACCCCACGTGGTGAGATCTTGCGTGGAGCCCCAGATCGAGGGAGATTATCAGTGGTCTTGTATATCTTCCATTTCCTAATAATTGCTCCCACAGTTGATTTCTTCAAACCAAGCTGCTTACCTATTGCAGATTCAGTCTTCCCAGCCTGGTGCAGGTCTACAATTTTGTTTCTGGTGTCCTTTGACAGCTCTTTGGTCTTGGCCATAGTGGAGTTTGGAGTGTGACTGTTTGAGGTTGTGGACAGGTGTCTTTTATACTGATAACAAGTTCAAACAGGTGCCATTAATACAGGTAACGAGTGGAGGACAGAGGAGCCTCTTAAAGAAGAAGTTACAGGTCTGTGAGAGCCAGAAATCTTGCTTGTTTATAGGTGACCAAATACTTATTTTCCACCATAATTTGCAAATTAATTCATTAAAAATCCTACAATGTGATTTTCTGGATTTTTTTCTCAATTTGTCTGTCATAGTTAACGTGTACCTATGATGAAAATTACAGGCCTCTCTCATCTTTTTAAGTGGGAGAACTTGCACAATTAGTGGCTGACTAAATACTTTTTTCCCCCACTGTAATAAAGAGGTTATATAGTATACCACAGTGTTAGAGTTGTAATCAACAGTGTTTGCTTTGTACAGCTCTTAAGGGCGTATCCTCAGCACAAAACAATCTCAACTGCACACTTTCTTGGGCCTATGTCTCTGTTTGAGGGCATATTGCAATGAGGAGTGTCCACATCTGCTCTCAATGGCCCAGAAAGAAAGTGACTAGCTTTACATTACAGTAGCATTTGTCATGCCTTTTATAAGAAAAGCTTGATTGAAGACAAACAGATCCAGACTATAATTAAGACCATATGGAATCTTCTAGGGCTTTCCCTCCTCTGTTTCCTCATTCTCTTTGCTTTCTCTCTCGCTCGCTCGTTTTCAGAGTGGGGACTTCCCCAGAAACCATTTATTATCCAAGACATTTGACACAGTCAGCAGTTTTGATTAGATTCATTGCCTCTGTGTTACGCAACACCACCTGCCACCAAGTCATTGCATCATCAGTCTGTCTAGAGCCAAGTAGCTACAGGGAGATGAGGCTCTGTCAACTTAAATAAATAAAATGCTGTGGAGACGGACAGGGTACTGAAGAGGCACAGACGTCAGTTCAACATCTTTTCTACGTTGGTTCAACGTCATTTCATTGAAATGACATGGAAACAACGTTGATTCAACCAGTGTGTTCCCAGTGGGTTGTTTTGTGAGGACAGGGTACTGTAGAGACTTCACTAAGGGGACATGGTACTGTAGAGCCTCCACTAAGGGGACATGGTACTGTAGAATCTCCACTAAGGGGACATGGTACTGCAGAGCCTCCACTAAGGGGACATGGTACTGTAGAGCCTCCACTAAGGGGACATGGTACTGCAGAGCCTCCACTAAGGGGACATGGTACTGCAGAGCCTCCACTAAGGGGACATGGTACTGCAGAGCCTCCACTAAGGGGACATGGTACTGTAGAATATCCACTAAGGGGACATGGTACTGTAGAGCCTCCACTAAGGGGACATGGTACTGTATAATCTCCACTAAGGGGACATGGTACTGCAGAGCCTCCACTAAGGGGACATGGTACTGTAGAATCTCCACTAAGGGGGCATGGTACTGTATAATCTCCACTAAGGGGACATGGTACTGCAGAGCCTCCACTAAGGGGGCATGGTACTGCAGAGCCTCCACTAAGGGGACATGGTACTGTAGAATATCCACTAAGGGGACATGGTACTGTAGAGCCTCCACTAAGGGGACATGGTACTGTATAATCTCCACTAAGGGGACATGGTACTGCAGAGCCTCCACTAAGGGGACATGGTACTGTAGAATCTCCACTAAGGGGGCATGGTACTGTATAATCTCCACTAAGGGGACATGGTACTGCAGAGCCTCCACTAAGGGGGCATGGTACTGCAGAGCCTCCACTAAGGGGACACGGTACTGCAGAGCCTCCACTATGGGGACATGGTACTGCAGAGCCTCCACTATGGGGACATGGTACTGCAGAGCCTCCACTATGGGGACATGGTACTGCAGAGCCTCCACTATGGGGACATGGTACTGCAGAGCCTCCACTAAGGGGGCATGGTACTGCAGAGCCTCCACTAAGGGGACATGGTACTGTAGAATCTCCACTAAGGGGACATGGTACTGCAGAGCCTCCACTAAGGGGGCATGGTACTGTAGAATCTCCACTAAGGGGACATGGTACTGCAGAGCCTCCACTATGGGGACATGGTACTGCAGAGCCTCCACTATGGGGACATGGTACTGCAGAGCCTCCACTAAGGGGGCATGGTACTGTAGAATCTCCACTAAGGGGACATGGTACTGTAGAGACTCCACTATGGGGACATGGTACTGTAGAATCTCCACTAAGGGGACATGGTACTGTAGAATCTCCACTAAGGGGACATGGTACTGCAGAGCCTCCACTAAGGGGGCATGGTACTGTAGAATCTCCACTAAGGGGACATGGTACTGTAGAGACTCCACTATGGGGACATGGTACTGCAGAGCCTCCACTAAGGGGGCATGCTGTCTTTACTTTTACTTTTTACTTTACTTTACTGACTTTATTGTCCCCATGTCATGTACACGTTTAAAGTGTCGTTTAAATACAAAGCAAATTGACAATACAACTTTCATAACAGTTACATAACAATAAAAGAGACTAGCCTGCTGGCCTTACTGGGTCGATAGGAACATTAACCCGAGCTGTTTAGGAGGGATATCACACCTGGCACAAATGATTGTCTAGTTCTGTTTTTCCTGCCGGGGGGTGCCCTATACCTGCTCCCAGAGGGGAGTAGTTCAAAGTCCGGGTACAGAGGGTGGCTTGGGTCTAAAAGGATTTTGTGAGCCTTGCTGAGGGCTCTGACCTTAAAGATCTCATCCATGCCTGCCTGTTTCTCTGGCTGACAGTGGCATTGCCAAACCAACAAACAATACAAAAAGTTAAAATACTGTCAATTAAAGATTTGTAAAACAGACGACTTTGTATAGTACTTTGTATAGTACAGTCAACATTAAAAGATCCCAGCTTTTTGAGAAAGTACAGTCTCTGTTGACTCTTTTTGTAGATCAGGTCTGTAAATTTACTCCACTGAAGCTTATTATCCAAGAGGACACCCATATATTTGTATTCCTCTACAATCTCTATGTTCTGACCTCTGATAGATGTTGCAGAGGTAGGTGTTGTAAGCTTCCTGAAGTCTATGCACATCTCTTTGGTCTTGTTGGTATTGAGGACCAAGTGTGACCGGGCCATGGTGTTCCGTCATCATGCAACAGGCTGATCAAGGCAGTGTCATCAGCGAACTTAACGAGGTGTCTGTCAGGATGGGAACTAGTGCAACTATTAGTGTCCCTGAGGAGAGCCTGTGTTGGTGGTGCGTATGTCCGACACGTGGGGACCTACTTTGACCCGCTGTGACCACTGGCTCAGAAAGTCCAACAGCCACAAAACCAGCCCCCCATCTAAGAAGAAGTCCCTTTTGAGTCTCTGTGGCAGAATGTAAGGCTGGAGGCAGAATGTAAGGCTGGAGAAAAGTAAACAAATAGAACCCTGACATGGGATTTAACACCCTCTAGATGTCTATTGACAATGTTGAGGAGAGTAAGAATGTCATCATCAACTCTGCTGGGCTGATAGGCAAACTGAAACGGGTCGAGGAGCTTCTGGGTGGCGCTGACAATGACTTTTCACAATTTTCTCAAAGCATTTAATTACTAAGGATGTCAAGGCGACAGGGCGGTAGCCATTCAGCACAGAGGGATTAGATGATTTAGGAATGGGTATAACTATTGAGTTTTTCCACAATACTGGCACGTGTTGCTGGTCGAGCGAGGATTGGAAAATGTCTGTAAAAACACCAGCCAATTGTTCAGCACAGTGCTTTAACACATGTCCTCTTATTTTGTCAGGGCCTGGGCGTTAGTGTGCGTTACATCCCCTGAACCACTTCAGAACATCAGCCTGTTTAACAACAACCCTCTCAAACATTTGTAATGGTGCTTCCATTTGTTGTACCTCCGACACAAAGTCGTCGGATTCAAATCTTGAGAAGAAAACATTCAGTTCTTTAGCCATGTTCTGGCCTCATGTCTCCCAAGGTCAGCATTGGTTAGCCATGTTCTGGCCTCATGTCTCCCAAGGTCAGCATTGGTTAGCCATGTTCTGGCCCTCATGTCTCCCAAGGTCAGCATTGGTTAGCCGTGTTCTGGCCCTCATGTCTCCCAAGGTCAGCATTGGTTAGCCATGTTCTGGCCTCATGTCTCCCAAGGTCAGCATTGGTTAGCCATGTTCTGGCCTCATGTCTCCAAGGGTCAGCATTGGTTAGCCATGTTCTGGCCTCATGTCTCCCAAGGTCAGCATTGGTTAGCCATGTTCTGGCCTCATGTCTCCCAAGGTCAGCATTGGTTAGCCATGTTCTGGCCTCATGTCTCCCAAGGTCAGCATTGGTTAACCATGTTCTGGCCCTCATGTCTCCCAAGGTCAGCATTGGTTAGCCATGTTCTGGCCTCATGTCTCCCAAGGTCAGCATTGGTTAGCCATGTTCTGGCCCTCATGTCTCCCAAGGTCAGCATTGGTTAGCCATGTTCTGGCCTCATGTCTCCCAAGGTCAGCATTGGTTAACCATGTTCTGGCCCTCATGTCTCCCAAGGTCAGCATTGGTTAGCCATGTTCTGGCCCTCATGTCTCCCAAGGTCAGCATTGGTTAGCCGTGTTCTGGCCCTCATGTCTCCCAAGGTCAGCATTGGTTAGCCATGTTCTGGCCTCATGTCTCCCAAGGTCAGCATTGGTTAGCCATGTTCTGGCCCTCATGTCTCCCAAGGTCAGCATTGGTTAGCCATGTTCTGGCCTCATGTCTCCCAAGGTCAGCATTGGTTAGCCATGTTCTGGCCCTCATGTCTCCCAAGGTCAGCATTGGTTAGCCATGTTCTGGCCCTCATGTCTCCCAAGGTCAGCATTGGTTTTTTCCCCTGCCTATGTGGGGGGCACTAGCCATGGATTTAGTCCCTTGCCAGGCCACCCTTGAGTTTCCTTAGGAGAGGGTCCTCTCCACCCTTTGCTTGTATGCCTTCTTGTCCACCAGTGTCTGTCTTTTGATCTCATGTTGTAAATCTCTTAAAGCCTGTCTGTTACCCTCAGCATAAACTGCCTTCTTCCTATTAAGTAGTGATTTTAGATTTTTTGATACCCAAGGCTTATTGTTAGGTAAGATTTTACAGGTTTTAGTAGGCACAACTGACTCAACACAGAAGTTTACATAGTCTGAAACATAATCTGTGAGTTCATCAAGATCAGAGCTGCTGTCCTCAAACCTCCCACATAGTACAGTCAAAACACCCTTGGAGACGAGTGATACTATTGCCATTCCAGATCTGGACAGTTTTAACTGTAGGTTTCTCCCTCTCCAGGAGCCGACAGTAGGTTGGCCAGAGGTAGACAACATTGTGGTCTGATGTCCCGATGGGAGGTCTGGTGGTGGCAGAGAAAGCATTTGGTATTGTCCCATAGCACAAAGCAAGAGTCTTATTTTTCCTAATGTGACATTTCACATACTGGTGGTACGTGCGCAGGACCTTGTGCAAAGTACAGTTGTTAAGATCCCCTAAAATAAATATGGGTGCGTCGGGGAGATGGATTCCAGTTTCTGTGACAGATTATAAGTCATCTCTGATGCTTTTGCTATTTACATTTACATTTTAGTCATTTAGCAGACGCTCTTATCCAGAGCGACTTACAGTTAGTGAATACATTATTTTATTTTTATTTTTATTTTTTCATACTGGCCCCCCATGGGAATCGAACCCACAACCCTGGCGTTGCAAACGCCATGCTCTACCAACTGAGCTACATCCCTATATTAGCGTTTGGTTGAATGTACACAACTGTAACAAACAATTGGGGGAACTCACGGGACATATAGTAGGGTCGCAGTGACACAGAAAGCAGTTCAATGTCGGGGGTACAGAGTCTCTCTCTTACCAGGATCGATTTACACCACTGGTCCCTGACAAACAGGCAGACGCCCCCGCCGTGATGTTTCCCTGTGACGGTCAGATCACGGTCCACTCTGACCAGTGTGAAGCTGGCCGGCTCCACTTCCATGTCCGGTACTCTGTCATCCAGCCAAGTCTCAGTAAACGCCAGCAAACAGGCCTCCCGGTATTCGTGTTTGAAGCGCAGATTCGATGACCGCTCATCTGCTTTCCCCCTCAGTGACTGGGCATTGATCAGCAAGGTGGTGGGTAAGGGAAGTTTGTTCTTAAATTTTTTAAGTCTTTGTCTGATTCCCCCGTGTTTCCACGTTTGCATTTGGGTTTGTAAACCACTCACAGACAATCGGGGATTAGATGGGCCATTGGGATATCCATCGCGTTCGTGTTTGCGTTGCATTGTAGTCAGAACTCTCTGCTGTATTGGATTCCGCTGCCAGCAGCGTTTTCATCATTTAGTCAGTTTGTAGCGGGTATGTACACGATAGACAAGATCAGTCCAACACCCCACCACTGTAAAGTCATCGTTGACAGATGGTTTACAAACATAGTGTAAAATTAAAAACATAAAAGAACACCACACCAAACGTCACACACACTGTGGGATGCAACAGAGACTCCACTATGGGGACATGGTACTGTAGAGACTTCACTATGTGGACATGGTACTATAGAGACTTCACTATGGGGACATGGTACTATAGAGACTTCACTATGGGGACATGGTACTATAGAGACTTCACTATGGGGACATGGTACTGTAGAGACTTCACTATGGGGACATGGTACTGTAGAGACTCCACTATGGGGACATGGTACTGTAGAGACTTCACTATGGGGACATGGTACTATAGAGACTTCACTATGGGGACATGGTACTATAGAGACTTCACTATGGGGACATGGTACTATAGAGACTTCACTATGGGGACATGGTACTGCAGAGACTTCACTATGGGGACATGGTACTATAGAGACTTCACTATGGGGACATGGTACTGTAGAGACTCCACTATGGGGACATGGTACTATAGAGACTTCACTATGGGGACATGGTACTGTAGAGACTTCACTATGGGGACATGGTACTATAGAGACTTCACTATGGGGACATGGTACTGTAGAGACTCCACTATGGGGACATGGTACTGTAGAGACTTCACTATGGGGACATGGTACTGTAGAGACTTCACTATGGGGACATGGTACTGTAGAGACTCCACTAAGGGGACATGTTGTCTTGTGGGGACATGGTACTGTAGAGACTCCACTATGGGGACATGGTACTGTAGAGACTCCACTATGGGGACATGGTACTGTAGAGACTCCACTATGGGGACATGTTACTGTAGAGACTTCACTATGGGGACATGGTACTGTAGAGACTCCACTAAGGGGACATGTTGTCTTGTGGGGACATGGTACTGTAGAGACTCCACTATGGGGACATGGTACTGTAGAGACTCCACTATGGGGACATGTTACTGTAGAGACTTCACTATGGGGACATGGTACTGTAGAGACTTCACTATGGGGACATGTTACTGTAGAGACTCCACTATGGAGACATGGTACTGTAGAGACTCCACTATGGGGACATGTTGTCTTGTGGGGACATGGTACTGTAGAGACTCCACTATGGGGACATGGTACTGTAGAGACTCCACTATGTGGACATGGTACTGTAGACTCCACTGTGGGGACATGGTGCTGTAGTGACTCCACTAAGGGGACATGTTGTCTTGTGTGGACATGGTACTGTAGAGACTCCACTATGGCGACATGATACTGTAGAGACTTCACTATGGGGACATGGTACTGTAGAGACTTCACTATGGGGACATGGTACTGTAGAGACTCCCTATGGGGACATGGTACTGTAGAGACTTCACTATGGGGACATGGTACTGTAGAGACTTCACTATGGGGACATGTTACTGTAGAGACTTCACTAAGGGGACATGGTATTGTAGAGACTCCACTATGGCGACATGGTACTGTAGAGACTCCACTATGGGGACATGGTATTGTAGAGACTTCACTATGGGGACATGGTACTGTAGAGACTCCACTATGGGGACATGGTATTGTAGAGACTCCACTATGGGGACATGGTATTGTAGAGACTTCACTATGGGGACATGGTACTGTAGAGACTCCACTAAGGGGACATGGTATTGTAGAGACTTCACTATGGGGACATGGTACTGTAGAGACTCCACTAAGGGGACATGGTACTGTAGAGACTTCACTATGGGGACATGGTACTGTAGAGACTCCACTATGGGGACATGGTACTGTAGAGACTTTACTATGGGGACATGGTACTGTAGAGACTCCACTATGGGGACATGTTACTGTAGAGACTTCACTATGGGGACATGGTACTGTAGAGACTCCACTATGGGGACATGGTACTGTAGAGACTTCACTATGGGGACATGGTACTGTAGAGACTCCACTAAGGGGACATGGTACTGTAGAGACTTTACTATGGGGACATGGTACTGTAGAGACTCCACTATGGGGACATGTTACTGTAGAGACTTCACTATGGGGACATGGTACTGTAGAGACTTCACTATGGGGACATGGTACTGTAGAGACTCCACTATGGGGACATGGGACTGTAGAGACTCCCCTATGGGGACATGGTACTGTAGAGACTTCACTATGGGGACATGTTGTCTTGTGGGGACATAACTTGTCTTGTGGATACAGTGCCTCTTCTAGTCCTCACAGGAGAGAACATGCTGCCTTATAGGGACAAGGTTTCCGTGGAGTCTCCACTCTAAGGACTTGTTGGCTTGCCAACTGCAGAAGCACTGCATAACACTAATGAGACTTAATGTTCTCTCTCCATGATGCCATTGATTTGTTTGTTTGGATTTTGATTAGAGTTGTGATTGGACAGAGTGCTCTAGACACACTGCAGTGTATGAGGCTAAGGAAGATGTGTGGACAGACCAAACTAGTTGGCTAGTCTGACACACAAATTCCCACAGGAATGCATTAGTCTGCAACACTCATACACACCCACTCCCCTCTGAATTGATTTAGCCTGACCCCCCCCCCCCCCCCCCCCCCCCCCTCTGAATACATAAACAGGCTCTAGGGAGGATTCCCTCGGGACTCAAGCAGTTCTATCTGTTATATCCTCAACAACCACTGTGCGCGCACACACACTGTGTATATAGTCTTACTGTCATCACCTTTTTAACTATTTATGCAATATACTAATAGAAGTAGCGAGCAAGTGTTTTGGCCTCTTATGTTTTTACCTGATTTATTTATTTAAACTATTCATATTATACTAGTAGATGCAGTGGGTTTAAGAAGCTTCTTGTGTTTCTGGCTTGAACATTTATTTCAATCAATCAATCACATTTAATTTATAAAGCCCTTTTTACATCAGCAGATGTCACAAAGTGCTGTACAGAAACCCAGCCTAAAACCCCAAACAGCAAGCAATGCAGATGCACGGTGGCTAGGAAAAACTCCCTAGAAAGGCAGAAACCTAGGAAGAAACCTAGAGAGGAACCAGGCTCTGAGGGGTGGCCAGTCCCCTTCTGGCTGCGCCGGGTGGAGATTATAACAGTACATGGCCATTATGGCCAGATTTTTCTCCAAGATGTTCAAACGTTCATAGATGACCAGCAGGGTGAAATAATAATCACAGTGGTTGTAGAGATTGCAACAGGTCAGTACATCAGTAAATGCCTGCATAAATAGTTAAGATAAAAACCCTTCCAAGTTTATTTTATTATTCCACTCTAAGCATTTGGTCCTCTGTATCTCTGTCATTGCTGAGTTAATGTTGAGGAGCTGTAAGTAGTTTCCACACTCTGCTCTGCTTTGTGTTGCCAGTGAGGACTGAGACACAGAGAGATCTGTAGCTGCACATTTATAGCCTGGGAGAAGATTTCTGATAGCGATTTCTGATAGCGATATAGAAGTATTCTTCACGTTCAGACTGGAGAGGAGTAGAGAGAGGGAGATCTTTGGCAGAGGAGTAGAGAGAGGGAGATATTTGGCAGAGGAGTAGAGAGAGGGAGATCTTTGGCAGAGGAAAAGAGAGGGATATCTCTTTCAGTAGCCTCGAAAGAGATCTATGACTGAGGAGTTGAAAGAGGGGTATCTTTGGCAGGGAAGTAGTGTGAGTTCTCTTTTAGAAGTGTGTAGAGGGATCATTTATATTGAAAACTAGAGCCTGACCGATATATCCAATATTATTGGCCAACATTGGCCTTTTACCAGTATATCGATATTAGACGATAATTCCACCGATGACCGATATTCAATAAATATGATGAAAAAGGGGGAATCTCATGATTATCTGAACACTTGCAGCCATGCTCATGATGTCATTATCGTCACAATGTAAATGAAGCGTCGTTCTTGGACAATTGCTCTTTTGGATGGCAATTAATGAGAACTCGGTGTGCAAAAATAAATTAATAATTTATTTAATTATTAATTTCCCTGCTGTTAAACAGTATATCGGCAGCTTCACCCTCCCTGAAGTGGACTGTATATTATTTTAGGGTTGTCTTAGCACAATGTGTTCTCTCCCAGGTGCTTATAAAGGCACAGATGACAGACGGGTAGGATTCCAGTTGAGGTGGTTTAATAATGCTGATTCACAGGAACGGCACAGCACAGTGTATGAGTTAAGGCACTTTAAGGTATGGCTTGACAATTGTTTTAACCAAGAGACTGTGTGATCTGAAAAAGGGGAAATTAAATGTAATAGTAAATGGCAGGTATAAGCTTAATACAACCTACAATTATGTAGGCTATAAACAATAATATGACTACAATAGTTTGTGCTGTACAGGACAATACAGCCTAACAACATGGCTGTGACTTCACTAATGAAAGATCAGAGGCGTGCAGCCACACAGCACTACCGAGCAGCACCATCATCCTCACACAGCTGCATTAACTTGTATACTGAACAAAAATATATACGCAACGGGCATCCCGAGTGGCGCAGTGGTCTAAGGCACTGCATCACAGTGCTTGAGGCGTCACTAAAGACCCGGGTTCGATCCCAGGCGGTGTCACAACCGGCCGTGACTGGGAGTCCCATAGGGTGGCGCACAATTGGCCCTGCGTCATCCGGGTTAGGGGAGGGTTTGGCCGGCTGGGGCTTTACTTGGCTCAACACGCTCTAGCGACTCCTTGTGGTGGGCCGGGCGCCTGCAGGCTGACTTCGGTCGTCAGTTGAACAGTGTTTCCTCTGACACATTGGTGCAGCTGGCTTCTGGGTTAAGCGGGCGGGTGTTATGAAGCGCGGTTTGGCGGGTCATGTTTCGGAGGACACAAGACTCGACCTTCGCCTCTCCCGAGCCCGTTGGGGAGTTGCAGCGATGAGACAATCGTAATAGGATCACAATTGGATATCACGAAATTGGGGAGAAATAGGGGGTAAATACAAAAAAATTAATATACACTACTGTTAAAAAGTTTGGGGTCACTTAGAAATGTCCTTGTTTTTGAAAGAAAATCATTTTTTTGTCCATTAAAATAACATCAAATTGATCAGAAATACAGTGTAGACATTGTTAATGTTGTAAATGGCTATTGTAGCTGGAAACGGCTGGTTTTTAATGGAATATCTACATAGGTGTACAGAGGCCCATTATCAGCAACCATCAGTCCTGTGTTCCAATGACACGTTGTGTTTGCAAATCCAAGTTTATCATTTTAAAAGCCTAATTGATCATCAGAAAACCCTTTTGCAATTATGTTAGCACAGCTGAAAACTGTTGTGCTGATTAAAGAGGCAATAAAACGGGCCTTCTTGAGACTAGTTGAGTATCTGGAGCATCAGCAATTGTGGGTTCGATTACAGAATCAAAATGGCCAGAAACAAATAACTTTCTTCTGAAACTCTTCAGTCTATTCTTGTTCTGAGAAATGAAGGCTATTCCATGCGAGAAATTGCCAAGAAACTGAAGATCTCGTACAACGCTGTGTACTACTCCCTTCACAGAACAGCGCAAACTGGCTCTAACCAGAATAGAAAGAGGAGTGGGAGGCCCCGGTGCACAACTGAGCAAGAGGACAAATACATTAGTGTCTGGTTTGAGAAACAGAGGCCTTCATTAAATAGTACCCGCAAAACACCAGTCTCAACGTCAACAGTGAAGAGGCGACTCCGGGATGCTGAACTTCTAGGCAGAGTTGCAAAGAAAAAGCCATATCTCAGACTGGCCAATAAAAATAAAAGATTAAGATGGGCAAAAGAACACAGACACTGTCAGAGGAAGATTGGAAAAAAGTGTTATGGACAGACGAATCGAAGTTTGAGGTGTTCGGATCACAAAGAAGAACATTTGTGAGACGCAGACTAAATGAAAAGATGCTGGTGGAGTTCTTGATGCCATCTGTCAAGCATGGTGGAGGCAATGTGATGGTCTGGGGGTGCTTTGGTGGTGGTAAAGTGGGAGATTTGTACAGGGTAAAAGGGATCTTGAAGAAGGAAGGCTATCACTCCATTTTGCAACGCCATGCCATACCCTGTGGACGGCGCTTGATTGGCGCCAATTTCCTCCTACAACAGGACAATGACCCAAAGCACAGCTCCAAACTATGCAATAACTATTTAGGGAAGAAGCAGTCAGCTGGTATTCTGTCTATAATGGAGTGGCCAGCACAGTCACCGGATCTCAACCCTATTGAGCTGTTGTGGGAGCTGCTTGACCGTATGG